AGAGAGGGATGCCCCACAGGTCAGTCTCTGCACCCCGAGATGGCACAGAGAGGGATGCCCCACAGGTCAGTCTCTGCACCCCGAGATGGCACAGACATGGGGACACCATCTGCACCATGAAATAGCAGCAAACACCATCCTCCAACAAAAGAACCTGAACTCCGTGGAGAAACATGAGGGAACTGCCAAACTGTATTCCAAAGTGGCCACAACATTCTATGTTCCCATCAGCCGCATGTGAGGGTTCCTGTTGCCCCAACACGTGCTAAGGGCAGCCTTGTTAGTGGGTGTGCTGCATTTCCCCCAGGCTAAGGGTGCTGGGCATCTTGTCCTGGGCTGACTGGCCATGATCAGAGCAAGGGTTTCTTGGTCACTGGTGTTGTTTTCAGGACCAGAGAGCTGTGTGTGTGTGTGTGTGTGTGTGTGTGTGTGTGTGTGCAGAGAGCTGTGTGTGTGTGTGTGTGTGTGTGTGTGTGTGTGCTGAGGGGGCCTTAGTGGAGAGGGGAAGGTTGGAAGCACGAACGGGTCCAGGTCCCTACCTCCTACAGGGAGGGAGTAGCTGGGATGACCAGGTCAAGTCTATGGCTCTAATTGTTACTGCTGCTGCAAAAGCAGCACTAGGCCACGGTGCCGTCCTTTTCAACCCGATAGTGCCAGGTGTTGCTCTGTGCACTTTGCGTACACCAACTCATTAAACCCCCAGCCCCCATGGTGAACATCGAGACTCTCACTCAGGATGGTGGGAGGTGAAGCCTGCTGCATGGGGTCACATGGCTGGGGTTGGCCCCCTGGCTGAGGTGAGCTGGCAGCATTAGGGGACAGGTCCTTTGCTCAGCTAGGATGTCCACTCCAGTGCCACCCTGAAGCAGGGTAGAAGGTGAACATAGCCCTGTGCAGGGGGCCTGGAGAGGAAGCTGTGGGAGGCGCCTCTTGGGGTCTGCAGTGCGTTCCACCTAGCTCTGCTACAGCCGGCTGCCTAGGTTCTCATTGGGCCAGAGGCTGCCCCAAGGGGGTCCTGTCCTCCAGCCCCAGACACCAGGAGCATGTGGGGTGGGGAGCAAGGTTTGAAATACTGAGCCAGCAGAGTGCAGCATCCCCCACAACATCAGATGTCCCAACTGAGCAAAGGTCCTATCCCATGAATGTAGGTCGGATGGGAGCACGCTCATGTAGGAACATATTCTGCACAAGTAGCCCCCATCATCCCAGCAAATGTTTTCCCTTTTCAAGTGTCTCCGAACGCCTGTGCTGTGCAGCCCCGCTAGTAGGCACACAGCGGGAGAAGTCAAGTCTTTGCAGCGAGCCAGTGCGGACCACACCTCAGCATATCTGAAGCATCTTGTCCAACGTCTGGAAGTTGCAGAAGAAATAACACTCAAACTGGTAACACAGCAAAGGGGCCTAAAGAAAGCAAGATGTCCCAGTGTCAGAACTCCACGCACTCACACGAGCCCCTGCATGTGCTCTCTGGTTATTCTATCATAGCCGTCACAGAGCCCAACACCGCAGAGGGGCAATTTTCGAATGCATTTGAGTTGCACCGTGTTTGTCTTAAGTTCAGACTAACTATGCGTACTTTAAAATACTGATCACAGGAAATCCAAATACAACCAGAAGGAAATATGTTACTGAAAGGAAAAGCTGAAATGAAAAGTCTGGTAGACACTTCAAAAAATCAAGTGTATCACAATGGAAACCAAAAACACTAATGGTCAAAATCATGAAAGGAAAGAATCATGACAGCTAAGAAAATATGGATAATGGAAATAACACAGAAATGGAAGATATTCTGAGAACCAGGACACTCCTAAACAGGAAGCAAGAAAGCAGAAGGAAAGAAAAGCAGAAGGAGGGGTGCCTGGGTGGCTCAGTCGGGGAAGCGTCTGCCTTCGGCTCAGGTCATGATCCCAGGGTCCTGGGATCGAGCCCCGCATGGGGCTCCCTGCTCTGCGGGAAGCCTGCTTCTCCCTCTCCCACTCCCCCTGCTTGTGTTCTCTCTCTTGTTGTCTTTCTCTCTGTGTCAAAAAAAAAAAAAAAAAAAAGGCAGGAGGAAGATGGTAATGGATGGGAAACCATGATGCCACCAGCCAGCAGGGTGCTCCAGGGGCCCAGACCTGCTGACTTTGAAGACTATTGACTTCAATGAGTACTATGGTGCTTCATGACACTTGTTACCATGAGCAATAATCCCCCCCAACCACATATAATGAAAAATTCATGTTTCAAGTCATGACTCCATTTACAGAGATCAAGTAAATGTATAAGGGGCAAGAGATGCGTCTCAAAACATTTGTAAAGAACTATTTTTTTAAAATTAGTTGTCCTGCATTTTTAAAAAAGATTTTAATTTTAAGTAATCTCTACACCAAATGTGGGGCTTGAATTTACAACCCAGAGAAAAGGAGTCACATGCTCCACTGACTGAGGCAGGAGGTGCCCCAGAAAGAGCTATTTTTTAACAGGAAAACAGCTACATGATGTTGACTGGCTTCTTCCAAGACTAAAGGTTGCCTATATCGTTTTGCTTGTAATTGGCCCACAGACATCATATCTTCAGAACCCTCAAAAATCATGAAGACTCAAAAAAAAAAAAAAATCACCAAGACTCCACAGAGCACAGTGTTTACTTGGGTCACGCACACATCACAGAAAAAACAGAGTAGGATTCTTAAAGAGGGGAAACAAAGTATGTGATCCAGTTAGTAAGATGCATGAATCACGAACATGCAAGTGGTTTCCCTTTTTTCCTAGTTTGAGGTGGATACTGCAATCAACAATGACACTCTGTGGCCACTGCAGATTTAGGGCCGGTCCCTGCATCCAAATGCCTGAAATACCGTGAAATCCTTCAGCTCACACAGGAGTTTGAGCCAAATCTGACAGCAATGCTGAAAGTGCATGTAGCATTGCCGATAAGAATGCAAAGCTGACAATCTTTTCTCTAAACTGTTAATAATTTTTAAGAAAGCACAATTTGATCAACTCCGCTATGCCAAAGACTGAATTATCGTTCTATCCACTCTATAAAAAGTGTTTGTTACCCAATCTTTGTCATATCAACAGACAAAGTCTGAATCAATGTATTTAGGAGAAAATATGTAAGAGGTATGTCAGGCGGCGCCTGGGTGGCTCAGTCGGTGAAGTGACCGCCTTCGGCTCAGATCCTGATCCTGGGGCCCCGGGATCGAGTCCCGCGTGGGCCTCCAAGCTCCGCGGGGAGCCTGCTTCTCCTGCTCCCTCGGCTCCTTCCCCTGCTTGTGTTCCCGCAAAGAAATAACAGATCGGAGAAACGTTTCATTAACTGTATGAATTTTGTGGTGTTTATCCGCTTTGTACAATGTGCGGTTTACCACTTTTCTTACTCTAACCAACCTCACCTTTCATACCTAGTTTGCTATTTTTCATAAAAATGGTGCTCCAAAGCGCAGAGGCTTGAGGCCCCGCCCATCCTGCGCCGGCCCCTCCCAGACCCTGACCGGCCGGTGGGCGAGGCTCACAGGGACCCGGGGGCCGCGGACCCGTTTCCGGGGGTGGGGGTGGGGTGGGGGTGTAAGGTGAGCGAGCAGCGTCTACACCGCTCTGGTGGCGAAGGCAGGGAGCGTTGAGTCATCACGGCCCCCCGCAGAAGGTGGCCGCCCCGAAGTCGCTACCTTCCTTCCCACGGCCGCGAGGGCCCAGCCGCCCCGCGTCCCTGACCCCCTCCTAGGCCGCGTCGCCCGCCCCGCGACCCTGCCGGGCCCCTAGTCCCCGGGCGGGCGCCTGGACGCAACCTCGCCCCGCTGCGCAACGCCACACCGTCGGGTGCGCACGCGCCAACACTCGCGCCTGCGAGGGGTGGGGCGGCAGCGCGGGGACGCCGCGACACGGGCGTACGCGCGAGCACGTGACCGGCCGCCCACGTGACGGACGACGGCGGGGCGGGGCGGGCGAGTCCGAGGGCGCGCGGCGGCAGGCGCGGGCTGTGACGTGGACCGGGATGAATAAAAGGGCTCCTGCCCGCGAGGGGGCCGTGGCTTGGGGCCGTGGCTTAGCGCCGCCAGCGGCGCGTGCCCCTCATCGGCGACTGGGCGAGCTCACTGGCCTTGCCCCTGTACCCTCGCTCGCAGGACGGTCCCGCGATGGGCTCGGACGCCCCTTCCTGGGCTCGCTGCCTGGCCCTCACCGTGACGCGCGTGCCGTGAGCACAAGCGGCGTCGCGCGGGCTGCAGGGACGGTGGGGTCCTGAAGGGAGCGTACACGAGTCCAGGTCCGGAGTTAGGATCTGTTCCGACGTGGCCTCGCGCGTCTCCTGCGGGGAAAGCGTCAGCGAGGTCGCCTGCCTTTCGGGTGGCTGGCCGTCGCCGCCGCGCCCCCACGGCCGCCACCGCGGTTTACAGTCGGCCGCTGTCAAGGCGCTGGGGCCTCCTTCCTTGTCCCCAGGCCGCTGTGGTCCCAGGGTCGGTCAGCCGTCCCTGGGATGGCAGCAGAAAGGGCCTGATGGACGTCTGTGCTTCCTCTTGTCCGCCTGATGGAGCCGTTCCATCAGTTCCATCAAAAGGACTCCACTGTGGGTGGAGACCTTTTGACGAGTTTTCCGGTGGAACTGAATCTTCTCAAATTCTGGGCCCCTTCCGGGAAGTCCATCCGCGCACTTAACTTCATCAGCAAGGCTCTTTGACACCGACCCTCGAGTCCCTGCACCGGGGCGTCCATACAATGTGCTGCTCGGAGCGGTTGCCACGTCTTGTCCTGAGGCCACCTTTCCGTCTCTAACTGATCTGTGTGCCGGGATTTGTCAGTCTCGACAGTATCCTCAAGACCCTGTGGTGGAGGTTCAGGCACAGTACAGCCCTGTGGGTGCATTTCAGGGAGCCTCACCCCCTGTGGCAGCTGCCAACCCATCCTGATGGTTGCCCCTTGTGCCCTGCGGGATGTGTCACCAATGCCGTGGAAGCCCCCGCCAGCTGGCTTTGCCCAGGCCTCCACTTCAGGTCCTCCTTCACCCGCACTCTCCCTTAAACGCCCTTGGTGGTCGTGGTCGTACATCGGAGGTTATGGTTGTCCCCCACAGTTCTGGGTGTCTTGTGTTTGCTTCCAGATTCACCTCTTTTCTGAGACCAACCAGGAAGCTGGAGGGCAAGAGAGCCAAGGGGCTGCAGCCAATGGGAAGCACTGGCAAGGAGATGAGAGGGGAGGGAAGAAAGGCTGAGTACTCCTCAGCACTTTCCTGCCGGCAGGTGGGCTGACGCTCCACCGAGCAAGGCCACTACTGCTGTTCGGTGGCCACTCCATCTGCCTCAGCGCTCACAGGGGCAGGAACTGCTCCCGGGCCTCAGCATTCCGACTGCCCAGGGCAGTGGCTAGCCGTGGAGTGCTTACCAGCCTCCTTGAACCCTGCTCATTGAGCTCCCTGCCGCCACGTCCTTTGAGCATCCTGGCTGACATTCACAGTTTGACCTTGGCAGTTTCAGGCCGTGTGTCTCTTTCCTGATGCTTCTGTTGACTTGCGAGAGGAGACCACTATCTACAATGGCAGGTTCCGTACATGCTTTTTACTTGAAAAGGTTCAACATGAAAGTTTTTTTTTTTTTTTTCTGCTCAAAGGATTTATATCCAGAATGTTCTTGGGGGGAACATTGAACTATGAACTATGAACATAGTTCATACTTCTTTGAAAGGGCAGGGTTTTATTTATGGTTTTTTTTTTTCAAATTATAAAGATGAACAGCAAGGTGTCATAACACTTGAAAGCAGTTTTGTATTGGAGAAACAACTTTATAGGTCACAGAAAAGAAGTAGACCAAGAGAAGAAGTAGAATTAAAAGAACAGTTGATTCATAATCGTGTAAATTAGGAGTCATTTTCAAATGATGGGGATAAACATTGTTTTTGTTCCTTTCCAAAACCCAACCATCACTACCATATTACAGAACCTGCCACCACGGCCCAGGGACACGGACACTCTGGGCTGTGACTGTTGTGTTTCTTGACTTTTTTGGTTTTTGTTTTTAACAGCAGAAAAGGACATGAGTTCAGAGGTTTCTTTCCACAAGAAGTTGAAGGAGGGAAAACAGAAGTCCACTTTATTTGTAAATGGGCATTTGCCTTGCCCTATTCCGGCCCCTGCAGGAGCCGGCCATCCTCGTTCCCCTGGCCTGGAGGGGCTGTGACCCCCAGACCTATCACAGTCAGGGCCTGGCCAGGTAGTGCCAGGGGAAGCAGAGTGGCGCAGTGGAAGCGTGCTGGGCCCATAACCCAGAGGTCGATGGATCGAAACCATCCTCTGCTACATGCTCATCTTTTCCTGGGTGGTAGCCTGAAGACCTGCCCTGTCCCTGTCCCCCTTCCATTTCCCCATCAGGATGTGCAGGACTCATAGCTGCAGCCGGTTCCGTGGTGTAGTGGCCAGCACTCTGGACTCTGAATCCAGTGATCCGAGTTCAAGTCCCGGTGGGACCTGCACAACGTTTTGGTCCCCCTCCCCCTTTTATCTCTTGATCCCCACTTTGGTGTCCCTTCTTCCAGGTGCGCTCAGGCCAAGGGTGGCCCCACAGTGGCCCTGGTGTCTTGTGGTTCTATGGTGTAATGGTCAGCACTCTGGACTTTGAATCCAGCGATCCGAGTTCAAATCTCGGTAGAACCTGCCTCACCTGTGGCCCTTTTGTGCCCACCCCCCCCCCCATCCCCAGTTCCCCAGTAGCGGGCAATGCAATCCTCACCGGGACAGTCCGGTCCCCTCCAGATCAGGGTCTCCTCTTTTGAGCTCATGTGGAGCCCTGGGGTTGCAGCCTCCATTTTACCCCCCTGGCCCCTCCATGGTCACCTGTCACCTTTCCCTTGCGTGTCCACGCACCCAGGACCCCTCTTGTCCCTGTGCACTGCTGCCTGTGGCTCAGAGGACATGGTCTGGTGCAGGGAGGGTTGACTCTGAATACTCTGCCCTCAGGGTGGGTGCATGGGGGCCCAGGACTCTTGTTGCTCCCGCTCCTAAGCACACCTCCCCAGAGACCTCCAGGTAAGGACCCTTGAGCTGGGCTGTGTGGGTGGCTCGCCAGAGCTCCTGCTCCTTTCCCAGAGGGAGCACATGGATTTCCTGATCTCTGTCTTTTCAACATGCACTTCCTCTCTCTAGCCGGACTTTAAAAAAGGGACACCAAAAGGGGCTCATACTGTCACTTTCGGGAAATGTTGAATTCCTTTTATTAGAACAGATTTAAGAGTTCTGAGTAAAGGGCCAGGAGCCTAACTCTGCATCTGCTTCCCTTGTGACCTTGGAAAGACCCTGCCCTCTTGGGATATCAGCCTCCTCATCTGTACAGTGAGGAGAGCTGGATGAGCTGGTCCTCTGGGGTTCATTCCAGCTCTGCTGCACAAATGTGATTTCAATCCTGCCCGACTGCTATGGGACCCTGGGGCCCAATGTCCTCCTCATTCCCATTCTCCACTTGTCTTTGTGAAAATGGGCTCATGTCCCACTTGGGGCCCAGGTGAGGGCCCAGAGGAGCCTAGCTCCCCACACTGGCTCACGTATTATGACAGGGGCCTATTTTGAGGCCTCCTTGGTGACATACTGCAGATATTTCCCTATTTGTGCATAAAAAAATCTATGTTTTAACTGCCTCTCGAATCCCACTGTTTGGATATACAATTACTTAACCATTCTCCACCAAGGAACCTTGTTAGGTGTTGCAGGTTGTTTACTCTTAATGCAAACGTCCTAAAGAATGTCTTGTACTTGGGCGCCTGGGTGGCTCAGTCAGTTAAGCGACTGCCTTCGGCTCAGGTCATGATCCTGGAGTCCGGGGATCGAGTCCTGCGTCAGGCTCCCGGCTCAGCGGGGAGTCTGCTTCTCCCTCTGACCCTCCCCCCTTTCATGCTCTCTCTCTCTCATTCTCTCTCTCAAATAAATAAATAAAATCTTAAAAAAAAAAAACGAACGTCTTGTACTTGCCCACTGGGCACCTGTGTGCGGTGCTGCTCAGGGAAGGTTCCCAAGAGTGAAACTGCTAACTGCTGGGTGGGAACCTGCCCTTCTCACAGACACCAGTAACCAACTTCTAGGTCTGTGTTTATGTGTACGTTACGTGTAAGTGTGCATACCTGTGTGTCTGTGTGCATGTGTGCATGTGCAGGTATCTACGAGGATGTGCGTGGGTGTGTATTCCATTTTCAAGTCAGTCTTCCGTCCTGGCACTTGCTCGTTTTCGAAATGTCTGGCTTATCCTTATTCAGAAAATAAGGTTCCAGTCTCTGTCCAAAAGGACATCATAGGCTCTGCTTCCCTGAACACAGGAGTTGAAGGTTCACTTGCTTTAGACAAGTGCTCTGGCTGGCTGGGAACAAAGCCAATGCCTGTGTGGAAGGACGTGCGTGTAAGTACCAAGGTTGGGCCCCCGAGCTGAGGGAGCCCACGTTATTGGCCAAGTGGCCTCGGTTTCCTCACCTAACACATCCGACCTAGACTCAGTGTGAGTCAGTGGTCTTTCCACTGTGGACAAGTGTCCAAAGTCTGCTGCTCAGCTTCGGGCCAGCAGCTGAGGCCACAGAACAGCCTCCCGTCAGCATCATCACCTGAGGGCCTGCGACAGGCAGTGCCATTGCTCCATACCCTCGGCCAGCATCAAACTGATGGTGTAGGCAATGGGAGTTCCATTCCTCACTCATGCAGAGCTGAGGAGGGACCGGTGTCTACACTGGTGGGAACTGGCCCAAGCTCTAAGGCCAGGTGGAAATGGCATTAAAAATCTGGGCTCTGATATGGTCCAGAGCAGAGCACTGGAGGGCAGAGCTATTTGCCACAATGACCGACACGCACGCAAACCTGCTGGACACGTTCCCGGTCTGCTAGGTGGTGACTCGGAATACCGTAGCCCTGATAACAGCATGCCCCTGGGGAGTGGCTGCTGGGTGTGATGTCAATCTGGGCTCACCCTGTCCTTCTCACACTGGGACCCCCTGCTCACTAGCAGACACGCTGTAGGCATCAGCCCAGCCTGGCCATGGGGCCGCCCCCTCTTCTCTGCACGTTTGGCTGGAGTCAGGACGAAGGTGGCCATGACCCAAGATGAGCTGCGGAGGAGACCCAACACCCCGTGGGATAACCCCCGGTCTGTCGGGCTCTGGCCACTGGAGATCTTTGCTGGAGCTGGAAGGGGCTGCTTTTGAAGCAAGAGGAACTGACCGCACACTTGGCTGGTGGCTTTCTAGGCCCACTGAGGAGACACGGGAGGACAGTTCTCCTGCTCTGAGCCAGCTGTTGCCTGGAGAAGTGCAAGGTGAGGTGAGGGAGGGCGTGGCCTGTGTGACATACGCATCTGTTGCAGAGCGCACCCTGGCCCCTGGCTGGGAGGAGCACCAGGTTCACGGATTCTCCACACACAGACCCATTCTTCAACTGTTTATTCCATAATCAGTTACCACAGAGGATGAACCCGATTATGAACAGATTGAAAGAAATACACAGTTTCACACGATACCCAGCTACCACCCGGACAGGTACACCGGTCCAACACAACACAGAACACGATGAGGGGAACGGAGCCCGCGGAGGCTTTACGGCATGGAGGGTTCGAGAGGAGCATCATCACTCGTGTTAATAAATTCCAAGTGCTTTGAAAATCCAACTCCAGGCCATTGGCAGAGGTGTTTCAAGGACACACCCTGATGTGCAGCGCCATTATTCCGTACATTTCTGGCTGCTTCTGAGCCCTGTTTGTGGGTCAACTGCTTTCCCTCTTCCTCCTTAAGGTGTGCTCACGGGAGCAGCACGGGCTGCAGGAGGAGAGCCCCTCAAGAAGCACAGGCTGCAGGGAGGCATGACCGCAGCAGGATCAGGAGGGACGGAGGTGACCGCCTCTCGATCGCACGGCCTGGCTTAGACGGGTAGCCCATCTCTGTCCTTCTGTCTATAGGTACCTGGCAGCCTTGCCAGGCCTCCCCACCTCAAGGTGAGTCCACCTCAATGGCTGAATGAACAGGTGCGTGTCTGGGGCCTACAGCACCAGCACCCACAGGGTCCCCGGGTCAACGGTCTGGTCCCGGGAGGGGCTGCTGCCTGCCACTCTCTGGCAGCCCAGCAGTGAGAGATGTGGCCCACTGTGGCCAGAAAATCTGGAAACCCAGATTTGTGTACCAGCCCCTGATTCCGAAAGGATGCAACTGACTCACATTCTGGCAAAAACATTTCAGGAGAAATGTAAGTGGATAAAAATAAGAGCCGAATGGGGCAGACTGTGGACCGCAGCCCCACATGCCCTGCAGTGGCCCGCCTCCTGTCATCTCCTCACGTGATCTCTCTGAGGCACATGAACCTGAACTTCTGGGGTCCTAGCTCTTCACAGGACACTTTTTGGATTTTTTTCTAAGCCTAAAAGATAATAGTTTGTCTTCACTCTTGTTCTTTGGGATATTTTTCAGTCTTAAGATAAAAGGATACAGAAACTGGGGCAATCCTCCTCTCGTGTCAAAACAATCCAGTCGCACACGTCACGAAGACATAGCACCACATCAAACAGCGAGGGAGCCCCCAGCAAACAGGGGTAGGTAATTCCGAAAACCCAGGCAGCGGCTGAGAAGCCGAGCGGTTTTCCTGCAGTGTCTCTGATGCCCTCGCTCCGCCACGCCTCCCTCCCCCGGCAGCTGATGGAGGCTGCCTCCCAGCCGGGTCGACCTTTACCACTTGATGTCTCGGCTGACCGCAGGGAGCCCTGGGCCCTCGTACATGGTGTGCAGGGCCTCCTGGACTCTGGGGGAGTCGGCCCCGTCCAGCCACTCCTGGTACAGCTCCTGCACATGGGCACTGGTCTCAGGGGGCCGCACAGGGATGTCCGCGTAGATGCCTTCCATCTGCCGCAGCAGTGCCTTGTCTGCACGCCCATCCTCGGTCTGGGCTTGGCCTCTGCCGTTTAAACACCCTGAAAGACAAACAAGGACCTTATGCTTTTCCTCCTTTTGCTTTAAAGGGCATGGTTTTGGAACAGGAAAGGAACAGCGGTGGTGTGCAGCACCGTGGGGCCAGAGCCTGGAGCTGGACTCTGGACGTGTGGGCCCTGAGGCCTCAAGAACCCCAGGTGACAGGCGCATAGTCCCTTATGCTTCCGATTCTTACCTACATACCTTATCCAGAAAACGTTTTTTTACCTAAAAGGGAAGCAAGCTGCCAGCCTCTAGAACTGGCTGGCTGTGTATGCAGATCTGGACTTTCAGAAGAGCAGGAAGACTGCGAACGGGCAGCCACGCCACTAGCATCTCATAAAGCCTCTGGGCATGGGTCCCCAACTGGGCGGGACTGGGGAGGGGGCGGGGACCCATGACCCTGCACCAGAGCCCATGCATCCGAGCACCACAGCCTAGAGAAGGGGTCCAAATCCCACGTCCTGGTGCTGTTTACTCTCAAATGTATTCAATAATGTCATGATTTATAGGGTTAAGTTGATTTAAAAGAATTTGTAGCAAACTGCCACCCCGGCCAACCCCTCTCCACTTGTCCCTTGGCAGTACCCACCAGCTGCACTTTTTTAAGAAAGGATTTTATTTTATTATTTTATTTAAAAAGATTTTATTCATTTGAGAGAGAAAGAGTGAGAGAGAAAAAGCACGAGCAGGGGGAGGGCAGAGGGAGCAGCAGGCTCCCCGCGGAGCAGGGAGCCCGACGCAGGACTCGATCCCAGGACCCTGGGATCATGACCTGAGCCGAAGGCAGACACTTCACCCACTGAGCCACCCAGGCGCCCCTCCACCCAGCTGCACTTTTGATCTCAAATCTCGAAGACACTCAGCCATGGCAGGTGACCCTGCTCACTTTCCCAGGGAGCCCACTCTCCCAAGGTCTGCTCCTGTCCTCAGACCCCTGGCCCCAGCTCCCCCGCTGTTAGGGCACAGGTGAGTCTGCCTGGCCCCCACCCGTGGCTCAGGGGAGCTGGACACCCTACCCCCTCCACCGCAGACCCAGCTCACCACTGCCTCCTCACCCTCACTGAGTCAGTTCCTCCACACCCCCATATGCCCTCCCCTGAAGCTGGCAGGTTTTCGCCAGCACCCTGGCCATGCCTCCTCTAGAGCCTTAGGCAGGCTTGAATCTTGTGGGCCTTCCCCACTCAGTAGGGCACAGGTGGCCCCACAGCCACCTGGAGGCCATAGCATCCTCTCCCCGGACACCCGTACCTACTCCACCAGTAAGTCCCTGGCCTCTGCTGTGGGACCCCTGCCCTGGTGCCTCTCGTTGGTCTCCCCCCCCAACCCCCAATCCATCACTCAGGACAGAACCTGGCTACAGGTGGGGCCATCTGAACCAAGATCAGGCTCTCAGCTGGTGCCACCCGAGCAGCGGCTCTTCTCTGGGACCATGTCCCCAGGGGCGTTCTAAGGGGACACCTGGCTCTTCTGCTATGTGGTGAGGGAAGGAGAGGGACCACTGTGTCACAACCACCAGGGCTGCATCCACAGTCCCACAAAGCTGTCAGAACCGAGCAAGGCCTGGGGTAGCCCACGAGGGCCTGCTTCCTCAGGGGATGTGGGGGCAGTGTGGCCCAGACCCTGCATCTTACCCCCGGGGCAGGCGAGCACCTCCACGAAGTGGTACGGGAACCTGCCCTTCTTCAGTTTCAGAACTACATTCTGGATGTTTCGAAAGCCGTACGCAGCAGCGAAGCGTAACAGAACCTCCCCATTCTTTTCAAGGGTGACCTCCTGGAAGTCTTTGTTTCTGTAAGATGAACACAATGGATTTTTTTTTTTTTTAAAGATTTTACTTATTTATTTGACAGAGAGAGACAGTGAGAGAGGAAACACAAGCCGGGGGAATGGGAGAGGGAGAACCAGGCACAGGGAGTCCGATGTGGGACTCGATCCCAGCACTCTGGGATCATGACCTGAGCCGAAGGCAGACGCTCAGACTGAGCACCCAGGCGCCCCAACAAAATGATTTTAATCTAGAGTCCTTCTTCTATGGCTGACAATCATTTTTTTTTTTAAGATGTTATTTATTTATTTGAGAGAGAGAATGAGAGATAGAGAGCATGAGAGGGGGGAGGGTCAGAGGGAGAAGCAGACTCCCCGCTGAGCAGGGAGCCCGATGTGGGACTCAATCCCGGGACTCCAGGATCATGACCTGAGCCGAAGGCAGTCGCTTAACCATCTGAGCCACCCAGGCGCCCTGACAATCATTTTCTAATCTAAGTTTGAAATGTTAGCAACATGAAGGACCTGAATAAAAACAAGGCTTTTTGGTCTTGGCTATTCTAAGCCCTATAAATAAGACAGCCCCCCACCCCAGCTCGCACACACACGCACACCACACACACGCACACGCCCCCTGGCTTTGGGCAGTGTGCCCTGGACAGCAGTGCTGACCGCACAGGCAGACCTCAGGGTGCGGTAGGTGACCTCGCCCACGTCCTCGTCAAACAGCTGCTTGGCCGCGTGTCTGAAGACGTGCGCCAGGTACCCGTCGGAGCTGGCTCCGTCATGGCGCCTCACCTCTTCCTCCTTCGGGCCTCCAAACCTTGCCAGGCAGAAGAGCAACAGCAAGTAGGAGTCAGACTGCCACAGGCTTATGATCCCCCGTGAAAAGAGAAATTCTTTACAGATATTTAGACTTCAGGCAAGAATCTCATGTTACTGAGTTCTAAAAAAATCAGCACAGGCAGTCATCCGTGACCCTCGATGCCGAAGCAGCAGCCGAAGCCCCACTCCGTGCACTTGGCTGGCTACTCCCTTCTCTGCTGCGCCATCAGCGCGTGCCCCAGACCTCGACACTTGGGACACTTGGGACAGAGCTGGGAACCTGAGGGCATGCGCACGCGCCCCAGTGGGGACAAGAGCAAGCACAGGCTCGGGCCACAGGCACTGAAGCCGCTTCAGTTCTATACACCTCAGGGCAGCCTTCCACGAAAGGGCTGACTGCTGAGCAGCCCATGCTTGCCCTGCGCGGAGCCCGAGACATGCATGGGGTAGAAGCGCTGGTCGTCGGTTAGGATTACCAGGACAGCAGAACCCTGGCCTGCTGCTCTTAGTGCAAAGGGACTGAGGGAGCTGCTTTTCCCGAGGTGACCCAGCCTCAGGCAGGTCCAGACACACAATGTCAGGGACCCATGGAATTCAGAAGTGGAGGGTGCGGACATGTAAATATCCCCACGGAAACCCAACTCCCCACACCCCCAGTGGGTGGCACTGCACACCACGGCCCCGCTCATGTTCCACTGGAGAGCTGGAAAGATGGCCTAGGGTCGTGGTGGGGGCTGAACCACGACACAACAAATGGCAACCCCAGGTCAGGGGGCCCCCCACACCCCCATTTCTCTGCTACCCACGGCCTCATCATGAAGGAGGGAGGCCACTGACAAGGTGCCCCTGCCTGCAAAAGTCACTTACAGAGTGTCAACGGCAGCGTCTTTCACTGCCAGGTCACTTTGCTCCATTATCTGAACGATTTCACCTACAGACAAAGAAGAGGCGTAAGGCACCATGGAAGGACCCACCCAGCCCATGCCGGCAGGACATCACGCTTCCTTAGGAGCTGCTTCCAAGATACCTCCCCCACAGGAGCTTCTGTTAAGGTGACCTTGGGTACTGTCACTCTTACAGAGAGGAGGAACCCATCTCTAGCACAGCATAACACTAATATGTGAAAAATTCTGATAAAATATAAGAGTCCAATTCCTCCTTCTGCCCTTGAAACAAGGGATTTTGCAAACAATCTCGCCGTGTTTTTGTTTCTGAAGCAGAAAACTTTTGTGTATATCTGCCTGTGGACAGAGGACCAAGACCCAGTGGCTGCATTCACACAGCGTACGGTGGTGTGCACGGAGATGAACTGAGAATCAGAACCACTTCCCTACTTCCCTTTACACCAGGGTCCCCAGAAACCCTTGCTGGAGACAGTGAATGTTTACGTCAACTGCCATGGCATTACATGCACACAAGATGACTCAATGTGTGAGAAAAACAGTAAAACTGATTCTGCATTCAAGAAAGAGGGGCCTGCCTGTGGTTCTCATGAAAACCCGCCATTTACCAGGTAAGCAGATGCCCTCCTCCCTTCCCCTGGGGCCTGTGCGCTGCGGGCCCTTCCAGGTCTCAGGTGAAGGGACCGACGCCCAGGAGTCACTGCCCTCGAGAGCCAGCTGCCCTGCCTACGCGGCGCGGGGGCCTGAAGCGCAGCCACTCGGGGTTAGCAGACGAAAGCCACCCCCTGACGGCAGCATTCCGCTGAGCGGCTCTCGAGGGCACCAGAGAAATCATTTCCACCCCAGCACACAGAGAACCTGCTGCAGGCTCTCCGCCAGGTGCACTGGGCGGGGGCTGCTGGCAAAGTCACTAGAGCACCACGGGCCCCCAGCTTGACTCTAAATGAGAAAACCTCACATGCCAGGTGCATGTTTGCTCTGTCAGCAGAGTCTCCGTCTCATGTGGGACTTCACGCCATGCAAGCGCTGCCCCCTCCACTTCCCTGCAGTCAAGCCCTCGGGGGTCCTGTCGTGACCTCAGAGGACGACCAGCCAGAGGCCCCCGTCATACCCAGCCCACCCACCCCTCACCTGAGGTTAGTACGCAGTCAGCACCCCGGGAGCCGTGGGAAGCTGTGGGAAAGTCTTCTCGAAGGGCCTCCAGTTTCTTATCGTAGCAAGGAGCCACAATAACATGGAAAATCTTGTCGGGGGACAGGTTCTGGGGAGAAAGAGCAAACCCTGCTTGAGGCTGTGGGGCTGTGGGGAAGTGAGGAAGGGCAGCTGAAAGCTGGTGCCCACAACTACCCCCCGCCCCCAACCAAGGTGCTTTCTCACGTGCTGAGCCCACTCTGGACCTGAGCCCAGCCTCCTGCAGACCAAGCTGTGACCTGTGCCTGCCTCGCAGCTGCACCCTCCCCCACCTCAGGGCCGCGCCACCCAGAGCCCGGAAGGTCCAGCAGCCTGAGACGCTGGGGAAGAGCTCAGAGAGCTGAACCAGCTTCCCGCCCCCCAGACCTATGCACACGCTGACCAAACACCATTAAGGAAAGCCACTGCTGGACTGTCGCCTGGGCTGGCTGACCCTCCGACTTTCCGGAAGCTTCCCAAGTGACACCTATTTGGGCAGCCCCTGTGGTGCCTGAGGCTGAGCTGGAATCAGCAGCCACACCAGCAGCTGGAAGTTGCCGAGTGGCCTCTGTGGTGAGGCCTCGGCAGAAAGGCCCTACTCGGGGCAAAGCCCGAGGACAGTGCCCGGCTGTCCCTCAGCAGGCCCACAGGACTGGTGACCCTCAAGGACTGGCACACTCCTGGATTCCCCCAACAGTGGGGGCTTTATCCCCACGAGGGATAAAGTCCCAAAGTTCATTTTTCTGCCCCCAAAGTGAACAAGGGTGTCAAAGGAGCGTGGCTTCCTAAAGCGGCTTTGGGTCTGTGGGGTCCCTATTATCGCTGTGTTCTCCAGTTTCTCCAGCGCCAGACCTCACTGGTTCCCTGGAGAGATGTATCCTCTGACTGAGGAGGACTGTGGGCACTCTGGCAGCTGGCGAAGCGACCACAGGAGGGGGCCACATCATGGGCGCCACTGGGGTGTCGGGGACCTCCAGAAGGAACCAGGCCTGGCCTCGGCCAGGGTTCCTGGGGCGGCCCTGGATGGCATGCAGGGGGTCTGAGTGGGGGCCTGCAGTGGGGAGGGACAGCACAGGGACCAGCTAAACATGGGGTGCCACCCACAGGGGGAACCCAGGGCAGGTGAGGGATGTGGGAAGGCCTTTAGGAGCCTGGCTGGGAGTTTTCCCATCATGTGAAGGCAGAAGTGGCTAAGGGAGTCGCATGCCTACTCACTGTGGTCTGGGGGACAGGCCAGGACCCCATACAGGGCCTCCTTCATTGCAAGCATCTCTGGCGGCAAGGCCAGCCGCGCACCACCCCCCCGCCCACCGCCCCTGCCTTACCAGGATAGACAGTGTTTCCACTCGGTCTAGGGCCAAGACCACCCTGGATGTGCCCGGTGGGAACGTCCCCATCTCCTAGCCCATGTGCTGCTCTCTGGGAGGTGATCAGCTTACCTGCCGTCTGGCGAAGTAATCCTTTACCAGAGAGCCCATGATCTGTTGGGGAGACTTGGCGGTGCAGAGGTGGGGGGTAACAGGGTGGCCCAGCACCCGTTCGGCGTATCGGACCCAGCCTGGGGAGAGAACGGTCCCGTCACCTCCTCACAGTGGCTTCCTTCTCCCTTCCGTCACACACGAGGAATTCTGAGCTCCCAGACCCCGTCACTTGGGGTAAAGCCAAACACCTCCTCATGTGACCTCCCAGGGAATTCGGGCACCCTGGGCCCCGAGGACCCTAGGTGCATATGCCCTAGACTGGAAGATGCCCCTGCCAGCCCTTGACCAGAGAGGATGGAGTGGAAAGAAGTGAAAACTGGTGCACTGGATCCCCCCAAAGAGGAGGACAAGTTTAGAGGAGCATCCTCCCAGGGCACTGGGCCCCACTCGGCTGCGCCGGCTGCAGAGCTGTTCCTGTTGTCAGAAGCCACAAAGCCCACCCAGCTTCACTCACCTATTGGAAGCTAACAGCGAACAACTGCCCACTTTTTAGGGCAAGGACAGAATTTCACACGCCTGGGTGATGGTGAGAAATAGCATACATGCTCCACGCCTAAGTGCGCAGCCTGGTACTGAGCATTTCCTGAGTCGCCGAGGGCTGCTGTGCCCTCTGGGCTCACCCCTGCTGCTGGGGTGTCCAGTGGGAACATAGGTCAGAGAAGACCTGCGGGAGCCAGAGCCCGCCTCCTTCACTTCCTGGGCATAGCCTGGCGAGAGGCAGACGCCACGGACAGGTGGGCACACCACAGCATCCCGGGGGTGCACAGAGGCAGAGTGAGAAGCTGTGCGTCAGACCCCAGGGACAGCCAGCTGCCTTCCCGTGACCACTCCTGGCCAGGAGAGCAGCAGGAGTGCTGGACGACGTGACAATCCCGTAGGAACAAACCCAAACCCTGCAGCCATCACCTGCATGTAGGCCTGAGTGTGCAGAGGAAACGTCTGTGGTGACCTACAGAAGCTCCTAGGAGAGTGGTCCCTGGAGGGACTCTGGCTTTTTTATTACCGTATGATATATTATTTGTTTCAGGGGTACAGGTCTGTGATTCATCAGTCTTACACGACTCACAGTGCTCACCATGGAGGGACTCTCCTTATCCCTTGCCTCTGAACATTAAAAACAAAAAACTGCCAAAAACAGTGGGCCTTTGGGGGCCCAAGGCCCCACGCAGCATGAGTTTGGCTTGGCAAGGCCCTGACCACTCTGGCCTCAGTACCAGGCCGGCACCTCCAGATGTGGCTCTCTGGCAGATGGCATCTCTGTGCTGTAGGCAAGCTGCTGTGGGCTGGCCAGGGGCACCACACAGCAGGCAACGGTTTGGCAGCAGGTAAGGGCTGGGGCCCACGTTGGATGCCCAGCCTGTGGGGCAGGGGGCCGAGCAGGGACGGGGAGGAGGAACCAGGGTCCCAGGGTCCAAGGGCCCCCGGTGGCCTGCATCTGAAACCAGACAGGTTAGCACTTTCCTGAGACCTCTGATCAGGAACTTGTTACTGAACGCTGCCCGGGGGCAGACACACCGGCCTGTGGCCTGGACAGCCCCTGCTGGCTCCCATGGAGACACGAGAACGGAGAAGCGACTGTGGGCTTCCCAGCAGCATGGGGGTGACAACAGTACTCACATCCTACCTGGGCGCTGGCCCTTTCCTGTAGAACGGCAGACTGCCCCTCCCCCTGGCCACCACTGACAGGACGGGACAAGAGGGGACGTGCTTGGAGAAGTGGCCTGGCACGAGGCACCCAGGAGCTCTGCAGAGGTACACCCCACAGGAGACATCCCTCAGTCTGTGGGCAGCAAGCGTACCCCAAGACCTACGAGCCCCGCATGAGAAAGCCATGCCCAGTGAGCCAGTACAGAACTGCCCACAGCCCTGATTCTATCTGCCAGGTCAGATCACCTGACCTTGATGTTGCTTTCATCTCCTTACCCTGTCGTAGGGAAGCAAAAACAACAATGCTGATTGTAGACAACGTTTAGTTTTGAACCAAATCTCACCTCATGTCCCTGAACTTGAAAAATGACATGAACCTGAACCAGTTATAGTTCTGATATACTTGGGTATAAAGAACTCCCGAGGGAAAGTGCATCATCATCTAGGAAGAACATTCTAGAAACTCCAAACCTACACTTGAAGAGCTCAAGACCCTGGATGCAGCAAGTATCAGGCCATATGGGGGGCGGGGTGAGGTGGGGGGCTCTGGGGTGGACCTGCTGGGGTCCCCACCAGCACTCCACTCCCTCCTGGTCTACGACGCCCAGTGTATTGGGCCTGTGACCTCTGACCTCACTCATCTCTGCTCCTGCCCCTAACGCAGACCCGTGAGAAACGGTGCCTCTGGCGCACGGAGGCGCGGCAACTGGCCCTGGGTGCTCACCTGGACAGGCGGAGGTGAGCATGGGCAGCGCTGGCTCTTCCTCGCTGTGCTGCTGGTATCGACGCACGAATTCTTTCTGACTCTCCAGGATGCTGAAATCCGCTGCTATTGTTGTATCGAAGACATAGTGCACCCCTGCAGGAAAGAGGGTACACTGAGCTTCTCATCACCTAACGGAGGACCCCCTGGGAATCTGCAGACTCCACAGGCACCCCTGAGCTCTGTGCCTCCCTCTCACCTCCTTTGCACCACAAACTGCATAAGCCCAGGACTGTCTTACCTTTTCCTTTAAACAATAAACATGGATCATTTTTCATAAGAAAATACGTATGTTTTCTCTCTTGCTTCCTCTCGTTCTATGTCTATACTTACGTAAACACCTCACAGTAGCCATAAAGTTAACGGAAGATTACAAGACAACAGCAGCACTCTCTTCCAGTCAGTGGTTAGATTTCATTCTGTGATGATCCTTGGTATCTTTAAATAAACTGGCAGCTCTTACCTTTCTGATGGCCATAATTTTTATGCTGATTTGTAACTAGCTATCTTTTTTCTTCTTTTTTAAGCTTTTAGCATTTTTTAAAAAAGATTTTATTTATTTGAGAGAGAGTGTGCAAGCAGGGGGAGGGGCAAAGCGAGAGGGAGAAGCAGACCCCGCACTAAGCACAGAGTCTGACGTTGGAGCTTAATCCCAGGACCCTGAGATCATGACCTGAGCCGAAATCAAGAGTTGGAGGCTTAACTGACTATCCCATCCAGGTGCCTCTTTTTAGCTGTCTTTTAAAAATAAGTTTTCTTAATACTGGCACATAAACCTGAGACAAAACATATACTTTTAATAATTTTAACAAAGTAGATTAAATAACCTTATTATCTGCAGTCACACAATTTTTCTTAAAAAGAAACATTATAATGCCTAAGTATCATCTTAAACCATTACCTTAAGTCAGTTTTCCTATGGATATATTTTACTAACATATAATGCCCAACTCTTTACTTTAAAAAATTCTCTCCCCAAATAGGGCCTTTCACTATGAGAAGAGAGAGTATCTTAGGAACTTTGGTAAAACCTGAAGCTTTTTCAGATCCCGAGCATGGAGGAACGACTACAACCATGCTCGTAGCTGTGGCCTAGTCTGGCAGCAGGCAGTGCGTGGAGAAACCAGTCCACACCAAGTGCTCTAAGGAGCAGGTGTTTATTCCAAGTGTCACCTTATTTTATTAGTAATCCCCCACGTGTTTAGGTCTTTAAAAGCCACTGCAGGGTGCCTGGGTGGCTCATTTGGTTAAGCATTTGACTCTTCGTTTCAGCTCAGGTCATGATCTCAGGGTCCTGGGATCAAGACCCATGTGGGGCTCTGTTTTCAGTAGGGAGTCTGCTTGGGATTCCCTCACCCTCTGGCCCTCCCCCGACTGACGTGCTTGCACAAACACTCTCTCTAAAATCAATCAATCAATTTAAAAAAAGAAGCCACTGGGCGCCTGGGTGGCTCAGTCAGTTAAGTGTCTGCCTTCAGCTCAGGTCATGATCCCAGAGTCCTGGGATGGAGCCGTGTTGGGCTCCCTGCTCCGCGGGGAGTCTGCTTCTCCCTCTGCCTCTCTCTCTCTTTCTCCCTCTGTTTCTCATGAATAAATGAATAAAATCTTACAAAAAAAAAAAAAAGCCACAGCAGAAAAATCGAAACTCATGTTGGCGAGTGCCTCCAGTCCTCCTCTCCTGAGCCCGCCCGGTGGTCGTGTGCATGAGGACACCCCGGGGGCAGACCCTGCACAGAGGGTGGGGGCCGGGGGTTGGGCAGTCCAACAACAGTGGACAACGCAGAAGCCTTCTCGTTGCTACTCTGGGTGGTACCACCCCAGCCCATTCACATCTGAGCTCTTGGGCGTATTTGAGAGGGACTATCTTCCTTTTTTGTGCACAGGAGACAGCCCATTCCCTCCCTGCTCTGCTCTTCAGAAAGCATCCTGGGAAACCAGATGCCGGTCATCTTGCAGATGTGATGCTCCATCATATGCCCTCCATGGGCCGTGGGAGCCGGGGCGAGACCATACTCCTCAGCGAGCGCAGGAGCCTCCTACATGTCCCTGCCACCCCATCGCCTGCTGCTCCTGGAGGGCCAGCCGCAGACATCACACACCACCCGTCTGCAAAGCGAGGGGGTGAGGGACGCCCGCCTATTGCGGGTCAGAGGCAGGGTCCTCTTAGTTTCTCGAGGTGCCTGTGGAAGTCTGGTCTAGGCTGTGCCCCTGGGAGCCGAACTCTGGAGACACAAAGGGCAGCTATAAGCTGGCCTTGTAGACTCACAACAATATCAAGGTGCCTCACCCAGACTTTTGAGGAAGCCGCAGAGTCTTCTAGATGCATCAGTCACACTGAGGCGGAATTTGGCAGCAAAATAAGGCAAAGACTGAGGACACACCGACACTACCAGCACCTTGTGCTGTGAGGTATCACACTTCTGGGAGAAACAGAGAAGAGCGTCACACGTGTGGTGACTACACAGAGTGAAGTAAGACACCGTGATAAAAAATCCAGTCAAACAGAATGTAGTAACTGTTCTATGAAAACACTGATAAACTATACATGCACTAGCAAGTATAATTAAGGAAACGGAAAAAAAATCAGGATTAAAAAGTGTCACATCCCAAGAGATTTTGTCAATTTTTAAAAACAATACTCTATCAATAAATGCAAATACCTGAATGAAAGTGGATAATTTTAAAGGAAAAAAAATTACAACATTGGCCCATAAATAACTAAAGTGACCCAATAACAATTTAAAAATACACACACACCAGTATGTTTCAATTACAACAAAATACATACACACTGAAACAGTGTCCAGAGATCTGTCCCCAAAGAGGCCTCAATCCCTGGTCATTCTGGCAAACTGTAGAATATATATATTTATGTACACGTATACATATATGTATGTATGTGTGTGTGTCTGTGTATATACATATATATAAATATATGTGTTTTTTTTTTCTTAAGAAAGAGAAGAAGAGAGAGCAGGGGGTGGGGCAAAGGCAGAGGGAGAGAGAGAGAAACTTAAGCGGGCTCCACGTTCAGCACAGAGCCCAACGCAGCGCTTGATCTCATGACCCCAAGATCACGACCAGAGCCGAAACCAAGAGTCAGACGCTTAACTGACCGAGCCACCCAGGCTCCCCAAATTATAGGATATTTTTAAGGAGTGGATCATTCTCACCTTCTATAAACTGTTCTAAAAAATACTGTGTGGGGGGCGCCTGGGTGGCTCAGTTGGTTAAGCATCTGCCTTCGGCTCAGGTCATGGTCCCAGGGTCCTGGGATCGAGCCCCGCATCGGGCTCCCTGCTCAGCGGGGAGCCTGCTTCTCCCTCTCCCTGCCATTCTCCCTGCTTGTGCTCATTCTGTCTCTCTGACAATAAATAAAATCTTTTTAAAAAAATGCTGTACAAACATGAAACCACAAGGCTATCGACATCCTGAAACCAAAACTGATACTGGCAGCTCAAGAAATCCCTACAAAGATATGAACAATTCATCACTAACACAAGGGACATAACCCAGGAGAGCAGTATGGGCAAGGATGCTGGCATTAGAAAGTCTCCCACGTGACCCTCTAACCTGGAGTTTAGGGCAGATACAGGATTACCATGACAGAGCTGCGTGGGTCAGACGTTGTCAGCAAGTGAGTAAAGTGGAAACCTGAACAGTGGTATTTGGGGGCAAACCTTCCACCACAGGTCTGAGGATTGGTCTGGTCTCACAGCTGGGGCGTGCAGGCCCAACTGGATGTGGGAAGGAGGGCATGATTCCTGCTTCTGAATGCATCCCAATAGAAATGTGGAAGCGGGAATCGGGGGAGAGTGTGAGTCGGTGGAAGCAGGAATCGGTGTGAGTCCCAGTTGCTAACAGAAGAGGCAGGGCAGAGGGTGGTCCGTCCCCAGCTCCAGAAGCCAGACTCAGTGCTTCCAATCCTTTTACCTAATGCCCTGCCAGGGAGGTCTCTGGGCCTCACTCCACTCTCACTCAAACGTCCCCTCCCGAGGGAGCTGCTTTGTGACCAGCAGGGGATCAGACTGAGCCCAGGGCGAAGGGCAGCAGAGCAGAGAAAGGGAAATTGCGGTGTGATTGCATGAGCAGCTGGCTCAACCAACCCAGAACCTCCCCTATGTCCAGTTGCCTGAAATAACCATTTCTTTATTCTTTATGCCAGTTTCTGTAGCTGAAATGCTGACTGGTATGCATTTCTACCAGAAGTTTCTACAAACATCTACTTAATAGTAAAACTTCTCACTGAAGTCTAAATCGAGATGTTAGTGTGGGGGGAGCTAAAGCCATTTTGTTCAGAGGAGGACAAGCAAGAGCAGGTGGGGACGGCCGCTCGCTCATGGACCTCCTAGGGGACCTGACCACCAGGAAGGGAACAGACACAATGCTGACAACAGAAAGACATGTATTTCTCTCTGAAACCGTGACCTAAAAATGCTGATGTGCCAGGAACACACCACAGGGGTGGTGGCAAATGCGCACAACACTGCTTGGCTCTGTCCTCTGTGCTGGGTGCCCACGTGAAGCCCACACTCCTCAGGCACTCCGCCTTGCTTGGGCACACCGACTGTTACCGAGACGGCGGTGGGGGCTCCCAGCAGCACCTGCAGTGCTGTGGGCAGGGTGGGGTATGAGAGCGCTTCCTGAGACCGGCCGTGAGCGAGGGGCAAACGCAGGGGTGTGCTTCAGCCCCTCTGCCTCATCTGCCCTTCCTTTCCCCTGTCCAAAGCTGAGTGACACAGCTCTACAGGAGAGCTGAGGGACCACAGCCTTGCCCCCGCCTGACAAGCCCATCAGACCAGAGTCCTGCCTCTGGGAACAGACCAGGGACCTCGAGTCCTACCACGTCAGTGAGGGAACGTGACCCTGGGCGGGGACTCCAGCAAGGGACATAGGGCCAGGGCTGAGGTGTGTGCGCCGTGCCCAGCAGAGGCTTCTGTGCCTCACCCCCCCCCACCGCCAGCAGGGGCCCTACCTTATTAAGGTTCAGAACGCGGAAGAAGTCCTTGGCATTCTGCTGGGAAACCTGGAGCCCTTCCTCAGCAGTCACACAGCTGTCACACGCCAGGCAGTCACTCAGAAATATCTTGGCATCAGCCAACTTATGGAATTCTCCCTTCTACAAAAGAAAGATGTTTTGGTCTGATTCTTCAATAAAGACTCTAACATGTGCTTCTCTAGGGAGAATGACAGCATGAGACCAACACAGAACATGGACACCTTGGACAACACAGAGCCGGAGGGCCACAGAACAGGCCACAGTGACACGGAGGAGTCACACGGATGACAACCCAGGGTGGGAGCAGGACAGCACAGCACTGTCACATGGTGGAAGAAATCTACATTCCTGTGCCTCAGGAGCTGGCCCAGCGCCTCTCTTCCCTATGTCCCCTTCTGTGTTGCCCTTGGGGACTCCCACTCTCAGTCTGCTCTGTACTCCCTGGTAAGCTCATCAAGGCCCATGGCTCCCCAAGGAAGCTGGCAGCCTGGCTTCAGGAGGTCTGAATGGGGCCCGAGAGTCTGCACTTCTAACAAGCTCCCAGGTGGGTCCAGAGCTGCCACTCGGAGGGTCTGGAGCACAGGGCCTCGCACACAGCGGGGGCCCAGCAGATAATGCTGTGCTACTTGGAGAATCCTCGCGCTCCGTCCCTGCAGAGGTCTCCCGGAGCACACTGTGCGCCGTTCCCAGGACTTCCTCCGTGCCGTGTGCTGTGCACCACACAGTCCTTCTTTCTGCAGGCTCTCCTGGGCCGGGTCTGGTCCCTCCCCACCCGTCCCGTTCCTTCTGCCCCCTCCTGTCTCCTAAACATGTGCGTCCCGCAGAAGACTGTCCACCACCTTCTCTCTAATCAGCCTCACTTCCCAGAACAGTGTCGGCTCCCCCAGCCCCCAACACCTCTCCAACCTTCACCTCCAGCGGAGCTCTTTCCCTCCCCAAGCTCCAGACCGCCACCCCACAGAGAGCTCAGCGTCTGTGGAACTCAAATTGCACTCAGCTTCCTGCGCTGCATCCTCTGTCCTGCTTTTGCCACTGTGGGGGCCTGCCCAGGCCCCACCACCCTGTCTCCCAGGTCCTTTCCCTCATTCTCCCCTGCTCTAGCCACCTTAAGCCACCTGCCTCCATCACCTGCCTCTCCCCCCACATATGACCTGTCCCCTCCCCCAGACCACTCTGTGCACCCCTCCTCTGACCTGCTCACCCTACTGGGGTGCCGCCCACTGTGCTGGCAGGACGCCTGCTGAGGCTGTGCACACACCTTATCTCTGTGTTACCACAGCCCTGGGAGAGAAGGAACCCAACTCCCCAGGTCACTGATAAGGAAACTGGGGCTCCCGGGTTTAGATGTCTGTCCGAGGTGATGTGGCCAGAGGGTAGGTGTGGGAGGCACCAGGCACTCCCTGCTTCTTCTGCCTTTGCGCCCCGGGTGCCTGCCTCATCTGCTGCTTGCCAAGCCCTACAGCTGCCAGAGCACAGAGCTGGTACAAGAGGGACTAGATCAGTCCTGTCAGTCCAGACCTTGTGTCGGGGTCACCAGATTAAAGTGAAACCTGCTGCTGTCCACGTTGCCAGCTCTCCACTAGTGAAGTCAGTACCAGTCCTTTCCAAGGGAGGAGTGACCTCCCCTACCCAGTAAACTTAAACCATCACCCCTAGCTAAGGGGGATTTAAACCCTCAAGAACAAAGTTAGAGAAGAAACCACTAGAAAAATAAACTTACGGGATCATGAGATTTGAATTATTTTTTAAATTACCTACCTAAACTCCCATTTTACAGAATGAAACTTTTCATTAAAAAAGTTGGAGACCTAAATATTATACCACTATTTCTAATCAATGACTGAAGATGGTATTTTTCTTTGTTCTTCACAGTTTGTTTTGGCTGGGTGTATTCTGAGAACACTTGCTCTTGGGCACTTCTGTCCCAAAGGTCACATGCCTAGGAATGACCACCCTGTATGCCCTCGGCAAGCCCCCCCCCCGCCCCAGGGCGCCACTTTAGGATCTTCTTTCTTAGAGCAGTGGTGTGCCAGGGACATGAGCCCTCGAAGAGGAGAAAAACAGCCCCAGCCGTTTATTCCAGGCTAATGCAAAATTGAGAAATTACTTGCCTCTCCATTCTCCTGAGCCAGACTTGGTACATCAACTGAAGCATTCTCTTGGTCCTCGGTTTTTGTTTTCTTACTACATTCCTTGAAAAAGCAAAGGAACATATAAAAGTACTTTTAATCTGACTCTCTCAACTTAAAAAGATGTATGTACACTCTGATCCATTAAGCTCCTGTGTAGAAATCCTCTCTACAAAAACAAAAGTACCTGAACTTGTGGACACACATGCACACCCTCCTCTATCTGTCCTTGCAGTAACCGAAAACTAGCAGCAACGTGGCCTTCCACCAACGGGTAAATCAACACCGATAGCCTGGATACTTGTTACATTTAGAATACCATGAACTAGAATTATGTGTAATGCTTTGAAAATGTATCTCTGTAAAGTGTTAAATAAAAAAAAAAGAGGAAGTGATGGAATATTTACATGATCTAACTTTTGGAAAAACAAACAAAAAATCCCCATCCCCACAACGAATGGCTCTTTATGTTATCAGCCTAGAAGCAAGTGTGGAAGGTTACCCCGGTCACTATGGTTACGACCAGCGAACGACCAGCCCTGTCCTTCCTGCATTCCTGTTTTGTTACTACAATCATGTAAGTTGTATAAAAACTCCTCAAAAACATGTTTTGATCAGTTTCAATCATCCACATCAAGAACTGTGCTGGCTATGACTGCCCTGAGTGGTAACAGAAGTTCGTTTGTTTTTTTTCCCCCTTTGGCTTCAAACATATTTAGAAAGGACAGACAAGTGCACTGAGAACTGGAAAGACCCAGCACGAGCCCAAATGTCACGTGACTAGAAGGCACCTGGAAACGAAACCTGACCCGCAGTGGCGCCGGGCATCTGGCAGGTTCAGCGTCCGCAGCTCACCAACCAACCACCTGCAGTCGCCCTCGACCCAGTAAAACCCAAACCAGTTGTCACACAGGAGACCAAGTCTGCGAGATGACGCGGACGTACCGGAGCCCGGAGCGGCTGATTCCGGAAACGGGGGACTGGGGGCCGGGGGACCCGGGACGGCGCCACGGCCCGCACCGCCCGCTCTGGGCACCAGGGCTCCCGGAGGCTGGTGACCGCAGGCAGCTCCAACCCCCGGCTCCGACCCTGACCCGACCTGACTCCCTGACCTCGAACAGCCCGGACCCCGGCCGGACCGAACCCCTGACCCCCAGCAGCACCGACCATGGCAGGACTGACCCCCTGACCCCGAGCAGCCCCGACCCCGGCCGGACTGACCCCCTGACCCCGAGCAGCACAGAGCCCGGCCGGACTGACCCCCTGACCCCGAGCAGCACCGACCATGGCAGGACTGACCCCCTGACCCCGAGCAGCACCGACCATGGCAGGACTGACCCCCTGACCCCGAGCAGCACCGACCATGGCAGGACTGACCCCCTGACCCCGAGCAGCCCCGACCCCGGCCGGACTGACCCCCTGACCCCGAGCAGCACCGACCCCTGGCAGGACTGACCCCCTGACCCCGAGCAGCCCCGACCCCGGCCGGACTGACCCCCTGACCCCGAGCAGCACCGACCCCGGCCGGACTGACCCCCTGACCCCCAGCAGCCCCGAACCCGGCCGGACTGACCCCCTGACCCCAACTCCCTGACTCCGGCCGGACCGACCCCCCTGACCCCGAGCAGCACCATCCCGGCCGGACCGATTCCCGGCCCCGAGTGCGCGGGGCCCACCTTCCGCGTGCAGTGCTCACACTTCATCTGGAGCGGGGCAGGCGGGGGGCCAGGGTTCGGCCTCAGTGAAGCACCGGGAGACTCGGTCACAGACGCCCGGCGCCCGCCGCCCTTTGTTGTAGTCACCCGCGGCACGGCACCACCCCCAGCGGCTCCACTTGACCAATGAGAGCGCCGGGAAGGGGCGGGCCACAACACTAAACCAATAGGAGCGCAGATGGTGCGGTGCGGCTCCCTCCCACATGTCTCCGCCTAGGCCAATGACAGCCCCGGGAAGGGGCGGGCCGGGCCCTGGAGCCAATCGGAGCGCGCGGGGGCGGAGAGCGGCGGACGCCCGGGAGGCCCCGCGGGTCATCTCGCCCGTTTCGGCGGCTCGCGGGTCGGGGGCGGCACGGGGCTCACAGGCAGACCCTCTCTAGGAGGCGACCCTGAGTTGTCCTGGGGCGCCTGGTCCGTCAGCTTGGCTCCACCTTAAGCCTGTCTCCAGACTCCGCCAGGCCATCGCCATTGCCGCCCGGAGGCGCGTCACGTAGGCCGGGCCTGGCGGCAGTGCGCACGCGCGGGTCCGCACCACGTGGCGCCTTGGTGGAGCTCGAAGGTGGGTGTGAAGCAGAGTCGACTAGATGTTCTCAGCCGGTGTGTGGATGATCGGGCACCTGCTTTGCAAATAATGAGTAGTTACTGTTTCTGGGAGAAATGACACCAGCTGCAGGGTTAAAACGAAAATGTTTAACTCATAATAATGAAATTAAACATTTTATAAAATCAGTGTCTGCTCTTTGCGGGATGATCAGAAATGAGAATCATGCCTAGGAAAGTTCAGTGGACCATAAGAAAAGCAACTGGTGACCTTAAAAATAAAGCTGCCAGTCATTTTACCAGCACATTGGGTTTATTTGGGAATAGCAGAGAATTGCAATCTAGACCAGGCTAGCTACACCAAAACCATAGGCAAGTCGGGAGAACAAAGAAGAGGAGCACACTTCTGTAGAGGAAAGGGGGGTGTTGGGAGGGGCTGTTGTAAACAAAAAGGCCGTTGGAACAAAACAGTAGCTTCTCGAGGGCTGAGCTGTGATTGCCTCTCATTGACTGTCTTGTTGCGTGGGCTTGAGGAAACCTAACTTCCTTCTGCTGGGGTAGTAAAGTAGTGGCTAAGGTAGTATTTACCTGCAAGGTTCCTGCTGGGTCTGCAGTTGAGAACAGTGTTGGGGGGAGAGCTCCCTTTGCCTGCTCCTAACCCCTCCTAAAGGAGCTTTCCTTGATTCAGTTTCATAATTTATAGGGGTTCATTCAGCTTTTTACAAATGCATACGTTAAAATCAGAAGGTCTAACCCCTACATTACTCAAATGTAGGTAGGCACCTCTCAGAAAACACATTCCCTCAATTTTCAGCAGGAATAAGAGGATAATTTTAGGTTGTCATTTGTATATTTGTTATTGTTTTAGAAACATAACTACAATACCATTAATTACCATGTGTGAAAACAAATTACAATTACTTAATTTCATCAAATATGTAGTTAGTGTCCAGGTTTCCCTAAATTGATCCCTTTTTTTTAAAAAAAAAAGATTTTATTTATTTATTTGATACAGAGAGAGAGAGCGCACAAGCAGGGGAAGCGGCAGGCAGAGGGAGAGGGAGAAGCAGACTCCTTGCTGAGCAGAGAGCCTGATGTGGGACTTGATCACAGGATGCTGGGATCATGACCTGAGTCGAAGGCAGACGCTTCACCGACTGAGCCACCCAGGCACCCCCCCTTTTTTTAGTTCAAATCAGGACCTAAATAAGTCCAAAATTTTCATTGGTTTGTGTGTTTCCTATGTCTCTTAAAAAAATCTTTTTGTTTTAAAATAACTTGAGGCTCACTAAGAAGCTGCAAAGACACTACAGTGTCTGAAGGCTGTGTGTGTGTTTACCTTTGTAGATTCCATCCACTCCCTCTCTTTTGCCTTGCATATCATTATAAAGAAGTCAGGCGGTTTGGCTGTAGGGTTTCCAAGAATTGCTGCCTGCACCCTTGTGGAGTCCTTTAGTATACCCTTGTCCTCTGAATTCCCAGGAAAGAGTAGTCAAATGTTCTCATGCCTTGATCCCAGGTTAAATTTTTTGGCAAGACTATTTCATAGATGTTGTTGTGTAATTCTATCAGGAGGTTACACTAACTCCTTTCTGTGATATTAATTAGCGCCCATTGATAAAACTGCATAGATCCATTAATTCATGACAGCAGTGTTTTAATCCTACCATTTCTTATTAATTTATTAGCAGGAATATATTTTTATAAAGATTTTATTTATTTATTTGAGACAGAGAGAGTGAGCACAAGCGGGGGAGAGGGAGAAGCAGACACCCCGCTGAGCAGGGAGCCCATTGATCCCAGGACCATGGGATCATGACCTGAGCCTAAGGCAGACGCTTAACTGATTGAGCCACCCAGGCACCCTAGGAACACTTTCATAATGAGAATTTCCTCTCATTCACTATTTGGTTACTCTGTTGTAAGTTTTATAAAGAAAGGCAAGATGAATGCATAAATTGGTAGAAAAGAAAATCCAAGTTCCTTTCTCAGCATCCTCCAAAAGTGAACAAAGAATTTAAAAATAGATCATTATGAATTATGGATTTTGGGGGCTGCTGGGTGGCTCAGTCGGTTGAGCATTCAGCTCAGGTCTTGATCTCAGGGTTGTGAGTTCAAGTCCCATGTTGGGTTTCACGTTTAAAAAAAAAAGTTACAGATTTTTAAAAAAGATTTTATTTATTTGACAGAGAAAGACACAGCGAGAGAGGGAACACAAGCAGGGGTAGAGGGAGAGGGAAAAGCAGGCTTCCTGTGGAGCAGGGAGCCCAACACGGGGCTCAATCCCAGGACGCTGGGATCATGACCTGAGCTGAAGGCAGCCGCTTAACTGAGCCACCCAGGTGCCCCAAGAGTTATGGATTTAAATGGTTGAAGATTTTCAATTCATTTGAATTATTGTTCTTATTGATACTCAAATCCTTTTTTGCTTTTTCGCTAAGAGAATCTCTTCAGCTAGGCTCCAAAATTTTTTTGAAAAGATGCTCAAATGCTAACAGTCCCTTTCCTTTTTGATACATTTGCTTGTACATTTCCTGTTTTAGACTTGAAATCAGTCCTTTCTCCAAAAAGTCTTCCTTTAGTAGGAATTGGTATTTAAAAACCACAGAATGGATATTAGAATTGCTCATTGCTACTGCATTGGTCATTGTTTCCAGGACTTTTCAGTGGACGGCATGAGGACACATGTATTTTTTAAAGCAAATACATTATGAACTCACACTGGTCCTTCTAATTCAAATCCAGGAATACAGGGTTGTAAATAATTGATCTTATTGACCTCACATCCATTACTCCTGTCTGAAATTCCTGGTTCCCAGTAGTACCTACCTAATATACTCATTTGCATGGTCTCATGTTACATACATAAGTCTCACACTAACAATGCTAACTAACTCTACTATCAGAATAAAAACACATTTTACATATTACATATCAATATATATTTGCATCCTGTACACCCCCTTCTTAAGTGATAGTACCTTACACACGTTTCTCCATCTTGCTTTTATCATTCAACAATACATGCTGGAGAGCATGCCGCTGCAATATATAGAGATATTCCTCATTCCTTTGTGAGGGTATATGTATTTCACAGGGTCCAATCAGGAGAGAGAAAGCACACAATAATTTGAACAGAGTTTAATATAAAAAATTATTAGCAATAACTGGGGATTGGAGTGAGCGATAAAAAGAAATGAGACTATAAAGTATGCAAGGGTTGTAAGAAACAAGGAGTAACCACAGCCACCCCAACCAGGGCTCGGACAACGAGGAGCCCACAATCCCCAGGGATGAGATCCAGACCGTTGGAGAAGGCGCCTTTGGCTCGCTGGATGGCAGAGAAGCTGTTAGATGTCACACTGATGGACCTGGCTGGAAATCTCTGCAGGGTGCTGGGGAAAGGTTTTTTTTCCACAGAAGGGATCTCACTAGAGGTACTTTTCTACAAAACCATTCAAGGGGTTGTGAGGGGAAGCTGGTGGGTACTGGTAACGGCTGGCCAGTGTGCACTCTAAGAGCTGGATGCTGGAGAAGCCCTGGGAGCCGCAGGAGCCTGCAGATCCAGCACCACAGAAGCAGGAAGAAAAGCTCTTCCTCCTGCAGTGTCTCTCCAGCACCCTCTATTGACAAAGTTTAGCATCATGCCAGAGAGTACACAAAAAATAGAGGGCTCAGATCCATTTTCATGGATCAGGCAATGAAGTTTGAATTTAGAGCTGAGATAGAATGCATTAATGATTGGCCCAATATACAATTTTATTCACTCAGTCCCCTATTTATGGATATTGTATTTCCAGTCTTGCTATTACCAATATTCAGCAGGATTCTAACCAAATTAACTGTCATTTGTTCACACATTTAACATTTGTAAGAGTCCAGTGCAGGCTTCATTTTTAAATAGCATATAATCTAGTAGAAAAGGTGAAATTATGCAAATAAAATGTAACGCAAAGAATTTTCTGGGTATCATCTCAGTTCTACTTAAATTCTGAGGAATAAGATCACTTCCAGTTGCAGCAAGCAGGAAGGACTTAAAGAAGGTACTAACAATTCAAATAGACCTTCAAAATGGTATAGGGGAAGTCCATTTCAGGAAGATGGAATGTGAGCTGAGGGGTCAGGTCAGGGAGCCTGCTGTGTTTAGACGCTGCCTGGTTTTGCTGCAGCTAGAGTAACGGTCTCAAAGTGTGGCTCCTGGACCAGCAGTATTAGCAACATCTAAATTTTAAGCCCCCCCACACCACTGGGAACAGGTACTAGCAATCTGTGTTTCAAAAACCTGCCAGGTGATTCTCATGCCTGCTCAGGTTTGGGAACCACAGGCAGAGAGTATTTGAAGCAGACTGGTAAAGTATAAAAGTCGCTTCCGAATGTTTGATCATGTGCTTATATTGGTAAATCTTCTAGGGTTATGCACACCGATGTACATATATTTCTTTATAAGGGACTCTGCACCGTTGTACTAATCTTATGTAAGTTATAAAACACATTGAGAATAAACAGGAAAAGAGAATGGGAACCGAAGCTCTCCTCTGTTCTGCCAGCACCCCACATGGCACTCGACCACCCACTCTGGAGAGCACTCGGGGAGGTGGGCAGTGACTGTGTGGTGGAGGCTGTCCTGTTTCAGGTAGGGCCCTTCCCTTCATCTGCTCAGAATTAGGCAATTTAGGGTCCTGACCAGGGACCACGTGATTGAGTCCTGCTTCGGTCCTCCTCTTTCCGCAGTAAGGGAAGGTGGTGTTTTGGTGGAGAGGGAGCAGGGAGGCCACTGCAAGGTTTTCCTGGAGAAAACTGTTTTTCCTACTGCAAGTCTGGGACAACAGCCCAGCCAATGAGAGAGGGTCACTGCCCAGCCAAGGGGAGGTGGCCACAGCCCAGCCGATGAGAAAGGGTCACAGCCCAGCCAATGGGAGACAGCCACAGCCCAGCCAATGAGAAGCCACTATACTTCCAGCTCCCAGCTTACTCCAATCGCCTTTCTGTTTACAACACCCCCCCCCACGCCCCCTCCCACACCCTATAAGAAGGGCCTCCTCTGCTTCCTCTCCGGACGTGCCTGTGGTTGTGGTGGAGGCTGTGTGTCGTTGGCGGGGATTCTCTGCCAATCCCGGGGCGCCCCTCCTCTGCTGGTGCATCAGCGGGCGGTGTTACTGTTAAGGTTAACGTTTTATTGGGATTGCACTGAATCTACAAATCAAACTAGTAGAATTTGTCTTTTAGATGACTTTTCAACGCATGAACAACTATCATCTCTGTTTCAGTGTTAGTAGACTTTACAATTTTTGCCTTAGCTTGTACACATCTGTTGTTAGACTACCTTCAGATACTTCCCATTTTGGTCCACATTTTATTTTTTAAAAGACTTTGAGAGCGCGAGAGAGCGAGCACGAGCTGGGGGTGGGGGTTGGGGAGAGGGAGTGTAGCAGACTCCCCGCTGAGCCGGAAGCCTGAGGCGGGACTGGAGCCTTGAGCAGAAGGCTGACGCCTAACCGACTGAGCTACCCAGGCGCCCCTTTTATCAACGTTTTAAGCGAGAGTTTTTTGAGGCATAATTTACCTTTACAGACTTTGTAGGGTTCAGTTACCCTCCAGACGTCCTCAGGTGGCGGCCGTCACCAGCACAGGCCACCTGCTTCCGGCCCGCATTTGCTGGCGGTGCTTCCCCACGACACCCGGGATACTCGGGAACCACTTACTCTCCCGCCTTGAGGTGAGTACGAGGTCCGGCCCCAGCCCCGCCCCAACCCGGAAGTCGGCCCCGCTCTCTCCCTGGAGCCCGGAAGTCAGCCACAGCCCCGCCCGAGCCCCCGGAGGTCGGCCCCGCGCGCTCCGCGGAGACCGGAAGTCAGCCACCCCGCCCCCGACAGTCCGGAAGTCTGCGGTCCCGCCCCCAACCCCGGAAGTCGGCGGCCGGCCGCCCGCCACAGGTCCCAGCCGTGCGCCCGCGCCCGCGGGGTCGAGTGCTCGGTAGGCGCGGGGGTCGGGCCGCCGTCGCGGGCAGCGGGCGGGCGGCGAGCGGCCCGGGCGGGCGACGCGTCGGTGGCGGGGCGTCTCAGAGCTGCGGGAAGCGGGCCGGGCGCGCGGGGCCTGGTTGAGGGGGTCGGGCGGGCCCGGCTGCGGCGGAGCTGCTGACCGGCGTGACCCGGCCCGCCTGCGTCGGGGGTAGCCGGGCGGTGGACCAAGACCCGGGACTCGTGTGTGTCAGTTGAGTCATCCTTTATTGTCGTTAGTTTGATGGGACTTCACTGCAGTATCTGGAGAGCTACCCAGAACCGGGTGCCCAGCCAGCGCTCTGCGTGCGTCGCAGTCCGCGGGGGCAGCGTGCCTTCGGCAGGTGCTGGTGCGCCCCGACCCTCCGCCGCGCGTGGCGTGTTGTCCCAGCGGCCGGAGGAGACTCCAACCACGATGGGACTTTCAGTTCCCTTTCTGGGTGGGGGCCAGCAGAGGGAAATGAGGGCCTATTCTGATAGGTTCTGCTAGGGTGTCGGCAGCTTGAATGCCGCTGAGGGCTAACGGTTTCCGAGGACTGCGGTTTCCAGGTAGGACGGGCCAGCTGGTGGTCAAGTGCCTGTTGACGCTTTGCGAGTACCGAGCTGGGCAAGGAGCCCCCGTGCAGTCAGCACAACTGGGCAGAGGAGGGCCTTGCAGAGGAAAGGGGCCCTGGGGGACTGCAGAGACCGCCGTGGGCACAAGCTGACTGGCTTCCAGGCTGGTGAGCGGGGCGCTTGTGAGTAGGCGTTCCAGCTGTGGTGTGTCTGCCCGTCCCAGCCCCTGTCTCCTGTCGAGAGTGGTGCGCGCTCGGTCCAGGCATGTACATGCGAGTGGAGTCACGCACCGGCTCCTGCCTCCATCTGAAGAGGGCTCCAGGCATCAGGTCCTGGTCTTTGCTTGTTGGTAAGGATTTCCATATTTTCCCTCAGATTAAAAATCTAACAAAAAAAGATGAAAATGAAACTGTCCTCTGTTCTGTTACCCCCAAGTATAGCATTTGTTTTGCTATTTTGTATCTTTCCAGCTTTTACCCTATATGCACAGCTTTTGCCCTACATTCGTGCCTTTACAGAGGATCTGTCCTTTTTTTCGCCACTTGATATCTTAATGTTAAGATTGCGCATGTTCTTCCGAGGTCCTCATATTCCCTTTCACTTGCTTCCATACACCTGGTTGCAGGTGTATGTTAGAGGCTTATGTGATGGGCCACAGTTCATTCCCATTTTTTCCTCCGTCCCTCTCACTGTCCATCAGAGGGTCCTGCACTGGAGGGGCAGCTGCGCGGTGTTGATGGGTTCGGACATGTGAAGAGTGGCGTGGCTGTGCCTTCAGCAGCTTGACTCTGGTCCATCTTTCCCGTGACCCTGCATGTGGCTGCCTGCCTGTTCTGCTTCACGTGCCATGTTGTGATTCTTTATGTACATCTTATGTTCATTTCACACCACGTGCTGTCGGAGTAAAACCCTTGCTGTCGGCTTCTCTGTCTCGTTTCCCAGCAGCTCTGGAGCCTCGGGTAGAGGAACGTATTTAGGGAATCCTATGAATGGCATTTGCCATGTTTCTGAGTGCACTTCCTGGCTGTTTCTCCCACTTCTGAGCCTGGTGGTCTGTCCCCCTGCCCCCCACCCCCAGCCATCCCTAGCACCAGGGAGGGCCTGCTTGTCTGGGCCTGTGACTCCTGGGAGGAGGGGGCTCTGGGCTCGTGATGGCCCAATAGGGAGGCACTTGCTTTCTTTTCTTTCTGCAGGAATCTTGTCGATTGGTCTGGCTGCCGCGTACTACAGTGGAGGTGAGATGCATTCCCCCCGCCACCCCCAGTAGCTTCCTTGGCCGTTTGGGAAATAGAGAAAAGAGAGGGAACCCGCCATCTGTGGTGCTCACCAAGGCCCAGCCTTTGGGGCCACAGGTGCCTCTGCCTCTCGGCTCGCACCTGCAGCCCCAGCTCCGCGCGCTGGCGCGTCCTCCCTAATGTGCTTTTCCCATGCAGCCTGTGCTTTCCCTTCTTGTATCTGCAGCACTTCCCGTGTCATGACACATTCTTCAAGAAGGTGCTCTCTTGTGTTTGCCTGAGGCTCTACTGCAGGCTGAGCCACACTTCCAGCCACCCCTGCAGGGTCCTCCCCTCCAGTATGACAGACTGTGCCATGATCGCAGAGCCGGGTCAGCCCTGACTCCTGTCTCCAGCAGACACTGAGGGAGAGCAGAGAGTGCACAGAGCTGGCCAAGCATTTCACACATGGTTCTGCATGACAGGCAGGGTCAGCAGTGTCGGGTGGCTGCCCTGGGCCGGGGTCAGCCAGCCCCAGATGCCACCCCTGCCCAGTGTCAGCTGGAGAGGGCCCCCCCGTGGCATGTCGGCCTTCACCTCTCTCCTGCTGTCCCTCACCCGGCTGCATGCTGTGTTTGCTCTTCAGATAGTCTGGGCTGGAAGCTCTTCTATGTCACGGGCTGCCTGTTTGTGGCCGTGCAGAACCTGGAGGACTGGGAGGTAAGGCCAGCACAGGTGAGGGCGGGAGGGTGCAGTGGGAATCACAGCAGGAGGAAAGGCTCTGGGGCCTCACACACTCCCCATCCTGAAACCTTAGCTTAGTGGTTTCTGGGCTGAGGAATTTTGTGAAGCTATTTTTCTCATAGAAGCTTTTCATGACTGTTTCCACTAAAATTCTTTACTCCCTAGCGTTGCCAATAGCACAGAACAGAATGAGGGCCAGTCCGTCTCCCTCGGTGGCCAGCACTCTCCCCGTGCCTTGGTCCTCTTCATGAGGAACCACGGGACTCAGGTGCTCTCTGACCTCCAAACTTTGACCTCTATTCCTTTGTTTGATGACCTCAGCTGCTGTACTTCTCTTTTGCTTGGGGAGAGCACCTGCTTTGATGCCCCTTTTTCTCTCTACACCCCCTGGCCCCGTGCTCCCAACAGACAGGAGCCCGGGAGGGTCTGGCTGTGGGTGTTCGGCTCTGGCAGAGCAGCTGGGTGTCTTCCCGAGTGTCTGCTCCCGTGAGTCCAGGCCCCCCTCTGGAAGTTCCATGTGTGGCTGGCCTGCACACACAGGCCGGCAGCCGGATGATCCCCTCCTGGCCGGTTTTCCAGGAAGCTGTTTTCAACAAGAGCACTGGGCAGGTGGTTCTGAAGACATTCAGCTTGTACAGGAAGCTGCTGACTCTTTTCAGAACTGGCCACGACCAAGGTGAGGCATTCAGAGTGTACAGGACACAGGGTGCAGCAGGAGGCTGGTTATTCCAGACTGGATGGAGGGTGGTGAGCGAGACCACAGAGACCAGGCCTGAGGCCTAGAAATGGGGTGGGTCCGAGCTGGCTGCTGGGTGACACAGGGTGACCCCACACATTGCCGGGCAGCCTCTAGCTCAGTGGCTGGTCATTAGGCACTAGGAAGGCATTTTTCAACAGTTGGGGGAAGATGAAGCAGAAAGACGGGCAACATAGATCTTAGCCCGTCCCTGATGTGTTGCTGCTCATGAGAGCACGGGCAGGCTTTCCAAGGTGACCACAGGTGTGCTGGATGCTCCTCCTCACCCAGATGGCACTCTCTGCACAAGCCTGTGCTGTGGCCACGGACCCGTGACGCCATCCTCTGGAGAATGGCCCCAGGGTGGCTGTGCCCAGCACACAGGCGGGAGGGGCAGGTGGGGAGGGAGGGGACCCCTGACTGACCCCCACCCGCAGTGGTGGTCCTGCTGAATGACATCCGGGATGTGAATGTGGAGGAGGAGAAAGTCCGGTATTTTGGGAAAGGCTACGTGGTGGTGCTGCGGTTTGCGACAGGCTTCTCCCACCCCCTCACCCAGAGTGCTGTCATGGGCCACCGCAGGTAAGCTCTGGGCAGGTGACTTGATTGGCCACAGCTGGCTGCCTGTGCCCCTCGCCCTCCCATCAGGTGGCTCCCACAGTGGACTTCGTGGCTGGGCCCAGGGAGAGGACTTGGAGGAACGTGGCCTGCCCCTGCTGCTAGGGGGATGTTGGGAGTCTCCACAGGGACAGAGGGGACAGGGACATGAGAGTCTCCATGAGGACAGAGGGCAGGGCTGGGGTCAGGTGAGGTGGGGACTAGAACAGAAGGCACCATGTCCTGGAGGGGAACCCTGGGGGTGCCAGAGGTGGGTGGTCCAGCAGGAGAATGGTGTGGGCAGCAGGCACCTCTGCCATGGTAACCTGTCCTTCCTCCCGGTGTCGGCCTGGCCCAGTGACGTGGAAGCCATCGCCAAGCTTATTGCCACCTTCCTGGAACTGCACCGCCTGGAGAGTCCTGTGGAGCTGTCTCAGAGCAGTGACAGTGAGGCTGATGGCCCGGGGAGCCAGAGCTAATGCCCACAGAACCCCTGGCCTTGGTTCTGGTGGCATCCTGGTAGGCCTGATGGGCCGCTGGCAAGTCTTCCTCCGGTGCCTTGGTGTGTCTCTGGCAGCGCCAGGGTGGGACCTTCAGCCATTCCTGCTGCTTGCTTCCGCCCTCTGAGCAAAACCACAGGCTGACCTTCTCTGCAGGCCTCAGAGCTGCCTCCTCCTGGCATCAGATGGCTGGCCCCAGCCTGGGTGGTGTGGGTGGGGCGTGAGGGCACAGGTACCCCACTGCCCACCAGCTGTGTGGGGATCAGGTCTCTGAAATGGGAGGGATGCCCAGGCTCCCCGGGGCGGGAGTGGGGGGCAGGGAGGTTCGCCAGCACCAGCTCCCCCAGCATTTCAGCTCTCCAGTGAGAGCAAGGCTTCAGCAGGTGTGCACAGGGCCAGTGGCTGGGTCAGGCTCTGAGGATGCCAGGACGACACCCACATTCGCGTGTTTGTCCGTGGGAATCCCAGTGGGTCATGCCCCACATGCTGCAGCCCTTCTCTGGCTCAACGTCCTCAGGGGTTAAGAGTGCAGTGCCTGCCCAGGGTCTGTAGGGCCCAGGGTGGACGCTGAGGGTCCCACCTGACTATGTGCACTGCAGCCACTCCCAAGGCCTCCCCAGCCCACAGACAGCCCCTGTCCAGCTGGGCCTGCAGGGGTGGGGGAGGCCTCATGCAGGCCCTAGACCAGGGCGGCTCCCTTAGGAACCCAGGCAGGACGTGGGGCCCAGGGCTGCTGCAGCAGTCCCCACAGAGAGGGCAGCAGGGGCACCTCTGAGCGGGCACTCAGGAGCTGTGCCTAGGACTGGCTGGGGAGACCCACCCCCTTCTTAGATGTCACCAACAGCTCTAGTTTGGGGATGCAATCATTTACACATGCCAAAGTTAGGTTTTTAAGTGGTAAAATCTGAAAGCCTTCTTTTTCTAAAATAAAGTATGAAATGCTGTAACTGGTTTCTGGTGTGGTCATCCCGACTGGAGGATGCCCTGAGTTGTGGAGGGATCTGTTTGGCCAGCTCCCCTCCGCCTTTGCTGGGCTTGCAGGGTGAGAAGAGTCTCAGGACCACCGTGCAGGACCCATGGGAGGAGCGAGGTCTGACTCCCACGCGCAGGACTTCTGGCTCCCACTCTCCTTTTTATTTCAAGCCAATAGGTTCTACATGTGGATCAGTAAGCAGGCCTCAGTGTGTGTCCTCCTTGGATATTTCCCACTTGTCTTTCCCAGCGAGAAATGTCTGCACCATGGGTGTGGCCTGTTGCAGGTGGTCCCGGGTACAGTGGGAGGCCGGACGCACTGGACAGGGGTGCCTGGCCCCGCGCCTCAGGGGTCCTGAGCTGCGAGCGGCCTGGGGCTGGCTGCCTCTCTCAGGTCCTGTAGCAAACCCTGTAGCTGCCTCAGGCTGGGCTGCACGTTCTCCTCCAGCCACTCCTCCACGGTGTCTGGGTAGAAGACGCGATGCAGGGCGGCCTCCAGCTCCTGCACCAAGGTGCTCCACCTGGCCAGGAGGCTGAGCAACACAGCCAGCGGTGAGCCTGCCTGGTGGGCACCCCTGGGTGGCAGCTCACAGCCTATGCACTACAGTCACATGCTGCACAACCCCTCGGGTCGGTACGGTTCTATGCCTCAGTTTACCCATGCATAAAACGGGGCTGTGAGTGCCGACCTCACAGGGTGGTTGGGAATAAGTGAGTTATGTTTTCACATCTGAAACTAGAATGCTCTTGACAACTGGCTGGCAGGGTTTGTCTTTAGGCGTGAACCTGTCGACATCAGACAGCATCTTTCACTCAGTGGGGACACTCTGTTGGCCTCAGCTCAGAGCTGTGAGACAAGAGAGCAGCAAGGAGGGCTGGCTGGCCAGGATGAGTCCTGGACCCTGCCCGGGGCATTCAGTGACCCTCACCCTTTAAGGCTAGTAAGGCCCTGGCTTCTCGAACGCTTACGGCACAGGTGATTCGGCAAAACTGATTCACCTAGGAATTCACCGCTGCAATACCTAGAAAGCTCGTCTTGGTTCAAAGCCGGTAGCCCCAGAGGACATGCAGCCCTGGGGGTGGGCACCGCCAGGAAGGGGGGCAACTAACCTGAGCGCCTGGGGCTGGATGTGCTGGACCATGACCGGGTGGATGAGCTTCCGCCTGCGGTGGTAGGGGCTGAACCAGCCAGTCACATACCTGGGGGGCAGACCCACGCACGCCGGTGGACCCTCTGCAGCTAGCAGGGCAGCCTCAGGGTGGTTTCAAAATAATGCCTTTGAGAAAACTTAAAGCCTGGTAGAAAGTTTAAAAAAATTGGTTCCCCCCAGAAAGTCTCTGTATAGGACGGGCCACCCTCACCCTGTCCTGTTGGGAGTGTGGGGTGGGGCTCAGCCCCCTGCCCACTCACCTGTCCCTCTCCAGCAGCGTGTCCACGGAGCTGCGCAGGTGGAGGCTGACGTGCGTGACAAGGGCCAGGATGTCGCTGCCAGGGAAGGAGCCGGCCCCCTCACTGCACGAGAGCCGTCGTGCTGAGATGGGGGTCCAAATGTCAGGGGAGAGGCAGGGCTGGGGGTGGGGGGGTTACCTTGTAAAATCAGTTATTTCTAGGTTTGAAATCCCGAGAAAGTTCTCCACTTTTGCTTTAACATCTTCGGCAAAACCTCCTGCAGCCAAGCACAGACGGAGATGGTCAGAGGGGCCTCTGGAGGAGAGAGAGGCTGGGCCCCTGCACCACTGTGCAGGCCTGGTGGCAGGCAAAGTGACCAAGGAGGTCAGCGTGCACGTGTCAGCCCCAAGGAGACCTTGGGGACAGGGCTGCTTAGGCAACACATGAAACAGGCTATGTTAAAAATGAGAAAACAAGATGCAGAGCGGCACCATTACTAGGGAGACCCACCAGCCTGTGCTGCCGGCGCGCCCACAGGTGTGCAGGACGTATGCAGCACCTGGCAAGCACGGTTTCTCACATGTGGATCATTACAGAACAACAGACACGGACCAGTGAGGCTTGCACGGGAGCAGCTGGTGGGGCAGGAGGCCCATCTCCACAGAGGGGAGGGCTCCGTGGCAGCGGCGCCCACCTCAGAGGCGGGCAGTGGCAGCCAGCACCGTGTCAACAGCAGAGTCGGCCGCGGTGTCCCCGCACCTTTCCTCTGAACTGTTCACAGCTAACGCTTCCGAGGGCATCACGTAGAGGGAAGGCTCAGTGTCCGTCCTTCTACCACTGTGTGCAGCCTCTAGCGGTGCGGGAGCCAGGCCCTGTGCACCCCACGTCGCCCCCGTGAGTCCACGTCTCTGCCCGAGTGGGGGTGCCCGGGTCGGCACTGGGCAGCCAGGCATTCAGCAGAGGCCTTTTCTGCACCCACCCACATGAACTGCTTTCACGGGCTCACTGCGTCTGGGGTCAGCAGGGGGGTGGGCGGCTGAGCCCCCCTCCACTGGGGAGGAAGACCACAGTCCAGCTCCAAGGAGGTGCAGCGGGGCATCCGGCACCAGGCTCTGCGCCCCCCTCCCCCCCCAGGAGGAGCAGGGGCCATACCGTGGAGCAGTGACTGCAGGCAGACGGCCAGGGACGGGATTCCCACGGGCAGCAACTCGCACAGTACGGAGAAGTGGTCGTACCTAGGTCCACGGGAGAGGGCCACTCAGCTCCCGCCGCCCGTGCCTGCACGGCAGATGACTGCACGCTCTCCCGGCACGTGGGACAGGCCTCGAGAAGCTCGAGTGGGCTGCTGCCTCTGGAAATGTGCCACCCAGAGGCCCTGCCTGGGGCTTACTGCTCTGTGGTGGCCACCCTGACTCCGCTGTGGGAGGCCTGAGGGTCGGCAGGGCATGGGCGGGGGCCTCCAGCTGCCTCCCCCTCTGCCCTCCCAATCGCAGGCATGGACCTGTGGCTAGGACTTGGCCAGGAACAGGGCTTCACTTGCAGCTCACTTTTCAAATGGCGCGAAATCCCTAAAGAGATAAAATCTGTCTCACGCCGGCCGTACGTGAGACAAGTTATGCGTGGCTCTGGAGGTGAGGCTGCTGACAGTGCAGAGGGGACCAGGGTGTGTCGTGGCCCCGGACACCCTGAGTGGTGTCCCCTCTGCAGAGTTTGGGGGATGGCTGTGGGGGTGTTAGGTCCCCAGGCTCCTCCCCTCTTAGAGCACCGGTCCCCTTCCCAGGGAGGGCTGAGGCCCAGACTGGACAGGCCAAGGAGGGTGGTCTGTCCTGGACAACCAGAGCTGCTTGGCCCCTCCTGGGCAGGTCGGCCCGAGAGCTTCCCCAGGGCCTGCGTGGCCTTACCTCTGCCAGCCGGTCAGGACGATGCCCTGCAGCATGTCCGCGGGCCCACTGGCCGCCACCTGCAGCCACTGCACGTTGTTCCTAAGGTGGTGCTCGATGGGGGTCAGGGCCTGGCTCGCCCCCGTGGCGCCCTTGAAGGCACTGGCAGCCCACAGCCGGAGAAAACCACACTTCCGGTACTTTTCCATGAGAAGAGCTAGGCGAGAAAGTGAGTGGTGTGATGGGCCTGGGTCCGAGGAGCTGCGGCCGCCAAGCCTGGACACTGCACTCGTCCAGACCAGAAAGCAGGAGGAGCCCCCAGCCGCCGGCTCCACTTTCAGGCAGACTGAAATCTCAGCGAGAGAAGAGACGCCTGCCATGTGCAGGTGACCCCTAGTCCACCTGCTCGTTAGGAAAAGAGCAGACAGAACGGGACATCTCGCAAGTGACCCGGGCAGGATGTGCCGGGTGTTCCCACGGCTGGCCGTGGCTCACTCGGGGAGGGGCCTTCAGGGAAGCGGAGGCTGTTGGCAGGATCCTGACGAACCAAGGGACTGAGGCCCCCACACGCCCCCAGCTGGGCAGTCAGGGCTCTAGGGTCTCAGGGGCCATGGCCAGGGTACTGACCTTTGCCGTGGATGTCCAGGTCAGCCCCGTAGTCCCAGAGCACGGGCTCCACCAGCTGTGGTACCCCCGATGCTGGGGGAGGGAGAGCGGCTGTGAGCCGAGAGCCGTCTGGACACAGCCCTGCGGCCCCCAGTCCTGGCCTTACAACAGAGCACAGGCTGACTTGTTCAGGGCACCTGGGCTTTAAGTACAGACTCGACACAGCTGTGTTTTTGACAGTAAATGCTGCAACCATGAAATCGGCCAACTCTGGCAATGACCAGACTCTGAGAGTTCTGTGAAATGTGAGCCCCCCTGGCCGGGGGTCACAGAGCTCCCTGCGGGGGACATGCTCTGTCTGCATGCTGCAGTGGGGGCGCCGGGACCGGGTGCAGCAGGAACACACCACTACTTGGATTTAACTCTAATCTTATGAGAACCCAAATGGCCATACGTGGGTCGGGGCTGCCTCGAGGACACCCCAGCCTTGCAGAGGCTGGGGCAATGGCCAGACTCTGGGCTGGGGCTCTGAGTAGACCACAGGGTGCGTCTCTGGTCTCACCCCAGAGCTTCAGACAGGGTGAGCCCTGGGGCCGGAGGGGTTGCTACTTTCCTTGACCAGCAGCCAGCGTGAGCCTCGGCCACAGCCCCTGCAGGGCTGGCCACAGTGTGCTGTGAGGCCGAGGCAGCCAGGAGCACCAGACACTCAAGGCCCGGTGGGACCCTCTAACTGCCACCCCCCTCCTCCTGCTGGCCAGGCCCATTAGGGCCCCGCCACCCCCCTCCTCCTGCTGGCCAGGCCCATTAGGGCCCCGCCATCCCCCTCCTCCTGCTGGCCAGGCCCATTAGGGCCCCGCCACCCCCCTCCTCCTGTTGGCCAGGCCCATTAGGGCCCCGAGGCTACTCTCGGGTTCAGACCTAACACTCTGCACTCCTGTAAGACTTGCAAATGCCTTCTGGGAGAACGGCAGTTTTGTGTGAGAAAGTTTGGAAAGCGGCTCTAAGGGGGTCGCCTGGACTGAGAGCTTTGGGGCAGGGGTCCCAGAGTCCGCCCCCAGCAGCTGCTCGCCTCCTCACTCCCAGCACCAGAGGCCTGGGGGATGCACCTGCCGACCTGAGAGTTGGTCCTCGGGGATGGCCCGCAGCATGTCGTCCCACACCAGAGGCCTCGTGGCAGGGTGCTGGGCCAGCACGTGGCAGGCCACCGCCTTTATGTGGGACAGACACAGTCTTGCTTTGGTGTTATGCTCCTGCTGCAGCCACCGCCTCGAGGCCTCGCCCTCTCCAAGGTAATAGACCTGGAAGGAGGCACAGGACAGTTTGGCCCCGGATCGCCCAGCCTCACCGCGGACACGCTGGGGAGAGACCTGGCTCAGGCCGTGTCCGCCAGGATGTCAGTGGCAGCTGCCTGTGTGGAGGGGCTGGTGAAGGGGGCCCTCCTCCTTCACCGAGACCTAACGTCCACTCCAGGCTGCCTGCGAGCGTTCACAGCAGCCCAAGGGCAGAAATAACCGAGGTGTCCCCCAGCCAGCGAGCAGATAAACAACATGGGGGCTGGCTCTGCCACTGCTGGGGTGTGGACAGCACGGCCATTTCGGGTCACAGCCCAGCCCTTGTCTGTCCCGCAGGGTGCAGCTTGCCATGCTCAGCGACATGGCTTTGCCCGCACGAGGTCACAGGTCAGCTGGGGGGGCACCCTCACCGGGGGACGTCTCCTCGGTCCACTCTGCTCTATCCTTTGGCACGTGGACTATTTTTCTATGTAAGAAAACACCCCACAAGGCGGGACAAGGAGCCCTTGAAGTGAGGAAGAGGGGCTGCTACAGCACTGGGAGGGACACACCAGGCAGGTGAGGCTCAGGGGTGGAAGAAGCATCGAAGGACCCACCTCGTCACAGCCGACATGGAGCCACCGGGCACCTGGGTGCAGCTCCATGACCTGGCTGATCATGGCTCCCACCAGTGCCAGGGACTCCGCCTCGTGGGGGTTCAGGGTGTTGGGGAAAAGTGCTACTTCTCGGAGGTGAGCGAGAGCCTCATGCTTCAGCACAAACTGCGGAGAGACGGGAGGTGACACTGGGAGACAGAAGCGTGCGGCTGAACTGAGCAAGGGCTGGCTCCAGGTCACCCCAGAGGGCACTGGTGGGCCAGGCTGAGCCTGTGGCTGGCTCGTGGCCCTTTCCATCTGATCTACCTGGGCCCGGGGAGAAAAGTTAAAGCCAGGCTCACTCACATGCAGATCGAGCTGCCAACAGCCAGAAACGTGAGGGGTGACCATGGACATGAGAGCCACAGTGGCGATGGCACTCTGCTCACACCCCAGCTGACTGGGCATCTCTCTCTCTCACACACACACACCCCTGAGGCAGACGGGGGACTCGCTGAACTCCCAACGTCCCCAGCCCCTGCAGCACAGGGTGGGTCCTCACGGCCCCAGCAAACCGCTGCCCAGACCCTGGCTGACCACCAGCCATGAAGACAGAGGGGTGGCCCCTAGGAAGCCAGGCCAAAAACACAAATATGAATAAAACACTAACAGAGGCATCAGTAGCCACACACAGCTGGGGAGACAGACCCTGCAGACTGAATGCAGGCAATTTACAACCACCTGCAGGGGGAAAAGTCAGATTCACAATATTATCTGAAATATCCAATTTTCAACCAAAAATCATGAGATGTGCAAATAAACTGGAAAGTGGAACCCAGACTCAGGGAAAAAGCCAGTTGGACCCTGATATCAGATTTATCAGATGACTACTCAAAGAAACTATCCTGAAAATGCTCCCAGAATTAAAGAAAACTATTAATAATACCAAAAAATGGGCTCCACAGCAAACTTGACATGTCAGAAGGAACAGTGATTGTGATGACAGACCAACAGGAATTACTCAGTCTGAACAACAGAGAGAAAAGGAGAGAACCAAGACCTCAGAAGCCCGTGCGGTGACATCAGGCACACCAATTTGCGCGGAAGGGAACGCTGGTGGAGGGAAGAGAAGGGGCACAGAAGCACCTGAGGACACGGCCCAAAACTTCATAAAAGTGAAAATAATCTACAGTTCCAAGAAGCTCAACAAAACCCAAGCAGGATAAATGGAAAGAAACTCAAACCAAAAGTCATAACCAAACTGCTACAAGGCAAACACAAACAGGAAGTCTTGAAAAGCATCAAGAAAAGTCTTGAAAGCATCAAGAAAAGCATCAAGAAAAGCATCAAGAAAGCAAAAGAAAAACTTAGGGAAATAATATCATAATTAAAGGCTGACATACCATGTTTATGGATTGGAAAATCCAACAGAGTAAAACTGATTTTCCCCCAAACTGATTTACATTTAATGCAATTTCAATCAAAATCCCAACAAGGTTTCTTCTTTTTTAAAGATTTTACTTATTTGAGAGAGAGAGAGAGAGAGAAGAGAACAAGCTGGTGGGGGGAGGGGCAGAGAGAGAGAATCTTAGGTAGACTCCCCACGGAGCAGGGAGCCCAACACGGGGCTCGATTCCAGGATCCTGAGATCATGACCTGAGCCAAAGGCAGATGCTTAACAGACTAGGTCACCCAGGGGCCCCAATCCCAGCAAGGTTTCTTATAGATGTAAAAACAACTGAGTCTAAAATACACACAGAGAAGCAAAGGGAGCAGAATAGACAAAGCAACTCTGAAAAAGAAGAATAAAGTTGGAGGAATCTTATTACCTGATTTTATTTAAGATTCACAGTAAAGCTACAATAATCCAGACAAGATGGTACCGACAAAGGAACAGACGCACAGACCAATAGAACAGGGTGGTTCAGACCATCACAAATAAGGTCAACTGAGAACAGACGCACAGACCAATGGAACAGGGTGGTTCAGACCATCACAATAAGGTCAACTGAGAACAGACGCACAGACCAATGGAACAGGGTGGTTCAGACCATCACAAATAAGGTCAACTGAGAACAGACGCACAGACCAATGGAACAGGGTAGTTCACACCATCAAATTTAGGTCAACTGATTTTTGACAAAGCTACAAAAGCAATTCCAAATTCCAAATTCTAAAGAGAGGCTAATCTTTCAGTAAGTGGTGTTGGCACGACCGGCCATTTCAAGCGGTCACACAGCGTATGCAAGAAACAATTAACCTCACACCTTACATAAAAATTAACTCAAAATGGACCATGAGTGGAAAGTGTATAAATGTAGAACTTTAGAAGGAAACAGGAAAAATCTTCATGACCAGGTGACTGACAGCGTTCTTAGAAATGACACCAAAAGCACAATCCATCAAAGCAAAACTGAGAAACTGGACCCATCAAAATTAAGAGACTTTTGTTGAGTACACTAAGGGAATGAAAAAATAAAGTACAGATTGGGAGCAAATATTTGCAAATCACAGATCTAACAAAAGAGTTGTATCCAGAATCTCCAAAGAACTTAAGAACCCAACAGTTCAGAAGATGAACATGCAAAATGCTTGTACAGTTATTTCACCAAAGAGGACATCCTGATGGCAAGTAAATGCCGGTTAAGTGTCTTCCTCCAAAAGGAACCAACCCTGAGGACACCCCGACCTGGGACATCTGGCCTCCAGAACTGTGAGAGAGCACATTTCTGTGGGTTTAAGTGACCTGGTTGAGGTCCTTTGCTGCAGTGGCCCCAGAAAACAAGCCCACTCTGAGAGCAGGCCCCTCGAGGAGCAGGAGTGAGGCGACAACTGGGGGAAGGGTGGGAGCGGCACCCCTGGGGACCTTCGGGCACACAGGCTGGAGGTGGAGGGTTGGTGGGTGCCGACCTGAGACAGGAGCGAGGGCAGCAGGACCACACAACGGCCCGAAGCGCCGGGGCACGGGGGTGCCGGAACAGGTCAGAGGAGCCAGGCGCTGGCGGTCACAGAGGACGAAGGGGAAGCAGGAGCGGACATGGCACTGTCTGGAGAGGGAGCGTCAGCTGAGGAGGGAGAGCTCGAGAGGAGCCATGGGGACCGCCACCGTGTCTGGGGGGCCAGCACACTGCGAGCAGCAGCAGCACAGCCGGGGGGGGGGCTGGAAGGGAGCAGCTGGGGCTGCAAAAAGCCCAAGTCAAGTGTGACGGGCCAGAACACGTCGCTACATTTAGTGACCCGGAGGGATGCTCTGTGGGCCGTAGCCCGTGGCAGCAGGAAGTGAGGAGACCAGAGAGCTCGGCAGGGAGTGCCAACCAGGAAAGCTGGGGGCCTGAGCACGGGAGACACGGGTGCAGCAGGGGAAGGGGTGCGTGGCTGGACGTGAAGACAGTGCCTCTGAAGCAATCTGCGCTTGAACACCTGGGGGAAGGGCTGCCCACAGGGCTACAGCAGCTGTGTCCATTAGAGGAAAACACAGAACCTGTAGCCATTAAATCAATGTTGTGTTTAATCTGCTGCCCATCTTCTGATGCAGATGTGAGAAATATTTCTGAAGATCACATAGGAGCTTGGGAAAATATTTTCAGTATTAAGTGATGAATACAAGTTAAAAGGAAAACAACTCGACCCTCAGGGCTCCATGGGAATCAGGCATCCCCCACTGGCTCCCTCCTGCCATTCCTTGGACAGAGGTTGCTCTGACCTAGAGCTCCGCGTTCTTCAGCCATTTGCAGCGCACGGGCTTCTGAGAAAGAGCTGCTCCCAGCCTGTGGCTGGCCACCGCCTATGTGCGCCCAAGCCCCACACCTGGGCACCAGGTGACTTCTGTTCCTCCCACTTACCTCCATGTGTCCAAATGTCTGCACCAATGGAATGACCTCTAGCTCGTTCAGTGTAGCCAGATGTAGGATCTCCTTGATTTCAGGGGGGCTAGGAGACAAAGATCATCCAGAGGTTCACTCCAGCCCATTCACACCAGCTCCAGTTCACTCCAGCCCATTCACACTCCAGGCGCTGTTCACACCAGCCCCTGTTCACGCTCCAGCTTCTGTTCACACCAGCTCCTGTTCCCACCCCAGGCCCTGTTCCCACCAGCCCCTGTTCACACTCCAGCCCATTCACACTCCAGCCCCTGTTCACATCAGCTCCTGTTCACACTCCAGCCCCTGTTCACGCTTGCACTCCTGTTCATGCTCCCCCTCCCTTGTCAGGTTCTGGGGCGGGGGACTCTCCTGGGGAAACTAGTATAGTCACTATATCCAAAAAGCTCAAAAGATATTCCTAAGGTTTCAGAGAGGGCTCCCACCCTATAATTTGGGAAAATGATGCTCTGCTATGTCCTCAAGTAACGGTTTGGTTTTTACCAATTATTTTTACTGAACTCTATAAAGAAGCTGAAGTCATTTTACAAGAAACTGGGCCATACAAGGAATCATATTCTACAAAGGGGTTGGCAGATGGGCTCAAGGACAAATTCACCTGCCTGTTTTCATACAGCCCATGACGTAAGAATGGTTTCTACAGTTTAACACGGTTGAGAAAAATCAAAAGAAGAAAATACTTTATGATATGTGAAAGTTACATGAAATTCCTATTTCAGTGCCCACAAGTAGAGTTTTATTGGAACTCAGCCATGGCCACTCATTGACATTACTGTCCATGGCTGGCTGCTCGTGCCTCCCCCGCCCCCCAGATTGCGGCAGCAGAGACCAGGCAGGCTGCACAACAAAACTGGCCCTTTACAGAGTATCTGGTGACCCCTTTAACAGAGAAAATTTAAAAGACCTTCAAGGTTACACTGCGGGGGGGGGATTCACCCCCTGGAGGTCAGCGACCTCGGTGAGTGCACTTGAGGATGGGAATGCTCTGGGGGGCGCGGATGACAGCCGGCAAGGGCTGGCTGCCTGCTCTGGCATCAGCTTTCATACATAAGTCTATCTCAAGAAGAAGGTGAGTTCCACACAGTTTCTCTGTGTGTGTTTGAACCATCTCTTAACCAGTTCTATGAATGTATGGACTTCAAATAGACCTTTTCCAAGCTTCACAGGTACCCTAGCATTGTTTCCACTTAAAAAACAAACAAATGAACAAAACATGTGCCTCGTAAGAAAAACAGAGCAGCATGAAAAGAACAAACTTCCAGCAAGCTCAGTGCAGTGTTAACACTTTGGACACACCCGTGGGACACGAACATCTCACAGAGTTCTCACACAGAGCTGAACCTCCCTCCAGAGTGGCCCACCAGCCAGACGTCTTTTTCTCACTCTTGTGAACACAGAGCATCACAACCTTTTAAAAACCTTCACCAATTTGATAGCCAAAATGGCATTTCACTCATTTTAATTCACTTTATTACTATCATATGCTTATTGGCCATTTTAATTTTTTGGAGGGAATCAGCCCACATGTCCTTTGCTCATTTTCTTTTTAGGGTGTTATTGATTTACACGGACACCATAACTCTGAAGCCAAGTGGGTGCACACGTGGCCACCACACCTGCTTTGACTGATTCTGACTCCTCCCCCTTTAATCTTTCCTTTCCTGATGAGGGTTCCAATGTGGCCTTAAAGAGCAGCATTCCCCTCCCTTTGCCCCCCCCGTCTCCCCCCATCTTCTCCCTTCCCCTAAATGTTTTCAAATTCTCTCCAGTAAATGTATTTTATTTTTGTAACTAAGACATGAGTTTAAATGCCAGAAGAGGGCTGCCCCACCACAGCCAAACCCTCGCCTGCCCTGCCCACACCTCCGGGTGGCCCCGCACATCTGCTTCTCCGTGGCTGGGGATACCTGTACGCGTGCTTGGCTCTCAGCAGCCTGAGGTGGCCCTCATAGGGAAACATGTCTTCATACTCGAGGAGGAGCCCATTGGCGCCCAAGGCATGGAACAGAGGAAAGACCTGGGGGAACAGGGATGCTATGAGGAAGCAATCATCTGAAGGAAGGTGACAGACGTGCCACATGTGAACTGTCTTCCTGCCTGTGGACATGTGTTATATTTGACATTCACATTTCTCCTGGGAACATTTAACCTGGAATGCGTACTTTGTGTTACACCAAATCAAACTCTAACACTGCAACGTGTTCACTCGGCACAGGGTGGGTCTGCACCTATGGAACAGAGCCGTGGCTCAGCCTCATGGTTCAGCCAGGAGGCAGTGAGGGGCTGAGGGTGTGGCGGGGAGTGGGCTGTTCCTGGCTGCGCTCATGGGGCCTCCCCTTGCTTACCCCCACTTCGTCCTCTACCTTTGTTTCAAAGGATATGAATTCCTATCCTCAAGCATTATCAGGACTAGTCCATGTCTACCATACAGAACTGAGATTTTCTTCTAGTCTGATGTCAAGGCTGTGGTGGAAAAGAGACATTATGGGCGCCACCGGAGGGGCCTCCTGCAGGTATCAAAAACAGCAACCTCTCCCCAGACAAGGGTCACTGCAGGTTCCACAAGATTTTAACAGTCCTGTTGATGTGTCTGTCAAAACTTTCCTTTCCCAGGAGTATGGGGACGTTCTGAAGCAAGCTGGATGGAAGAAGGAAAACAGCCGGGGGCTAAAACTTTGCCATAGACAAGTCATAATCAGTAGTTTTCTGCAAATTACAAAAAGAGGCAGCCAGCCTGGAGTGGATCGAGCAAACGCAGGTCAGGCATGCAGATAACGCAACATAATGGTCTTGGCATTTTCCCATTTGCTCAGCATTTTTGCTTCTGGTTTGCTTCTCAGCTTCTTGTGGCCATCTGACCACTGCAGTCTGTTTGGCACTTTGGCTGTTGGGGTTGATGGCGATCCTTTGTGCCATGGGTGGTGAGGAGGCTGTGGGGCTGGGTGGCCCAGGTGTCCCCAACACATACTCCGGCCCAGTGCTAGGCACGGGGCTGGGATGGAGAAGGTCCTCGCTGTAAATCCACACCAGCGTGCATACACACACGTGGGGGCATGATACGCTGAGCCTCCTGCATCTGTCGTCGAGACTCAACATCGTTTCCCCTACTTTCCACTTTTCTGACTGGAGTATTTCTAAGCAAATCCCAGACAACACAACTGTTCACATATACATACTTCAATATATATCCCTGATGAAGACTTTTTACAAAGGCACACCACACCATTATCCCACCTAACCAAATCTTTAATATCATCCATGCTCAAATTTTCCTCTCAAATCTTTTCAGACGTGGCTTGTTCGAACCCAGTCCAGGGAAGGTCCATACACTGCATTGTTTGAATGGATCTTTTAACGTTCTCTGATTTTTAATAGTCCCTTCTGCTTTTTTAATTTGAAATTTATTTGTTGAAGAAACCAAGTCACTTGTTTTGTATGATTTCCCAAATTTTGGATGGGTGGTATTCTCAAGATGTCCTGTAGTGTGTTTGCCTATTTCCTACTCTTGTGTGTGCTGGTGGTTAGACATGAAGGGGTGATTGGATCCAGGTGTCATTCTTTTGGCAAGAATACTTCACAGATGGTTCTAGAAGTCACAAGTCTGCCTGCCCCACCAGAGTGATGAGGGGCATCAGCCAGACCCATGCCTTGCACTTCTGCCTAACAGTTTCAGCCGCCACTGACATTCGCACCCAGTGCACTGAACAGGAGCTGCACGGCGGTGACTCTCCAATTACGTGTTGGCTGGGATGCTTCCTTAAGGAGGAATTTGCTCTCAGAAATTATTTGGTTACTCCAGTTGTGATGCTGCGGCAGCTGGTGCTTGTTCTTCAGTAAATTCACTCACTTCTTGGATGTTCACAATAGCTGGCCTGTGGCTTTCACACCCAAAGGTCAATTTGGTTGGATACAAAATCCTTCAGTATCTTAAATACGTTACTCCCTTGTCTTCGGTCATAAAACGCTGCCGTCAAAAGTATCTGATGCTGATCTAATTATCCTTCCCTCAGACAGAACTTGTACCTTTTTCCTGTGTGCCCAAGAGTTGTTCATTTTCATTTTCTTTGAAGTCTCATACATTTACTAAAAGATTTACTTAGCGTCTATCATCTTCAGGATATGGTATGCCTTTTCTTTCTTTTTTTAAGATTTATTTCTTATTTGAGGGAGAGTGGGAGAGCGCTTGAGTGGGGGAAGGAGCAGAGGGAGAGGGTCTCAAGCAACCCCCCCGCCCAGAGCTTGGAGACTGATTCCAGGCTCAATCCCACAACCCATGAGATCATGATCTGAGCTGAAACCAAGAGTCAGACGCTCAACCAACCGAGCCACCCAGGCGCCCCAGGTATGCCCTCTCAACATGCAGATCCAAGTATTCTTAAATTTCAGGACAGTGTTTCTGTAGTTTCTGAGCATTTGTCCTACAGCACTGCTTTGGTTCTCTTCTTGGGGGACTGTTGCAAACTGAAAACAAGGCTACGATACAGTGCCTTCCTCATCAAGAGGCAGTGTCTATTCCGTCTTGAACCTGGGCTGACTTTAGACTTGCTTTCTAAGAGGAACACTAGGCCCAGGAAGGCTTGCGGCTTTGGCTCCCATGCTCTCAAAGCACTGTCCTGTGATGGCCACGCTAAGAGAGGCTGGCCTAGCCTCTGAGAGGACAGGTGCCCACAAGGAGGACTAGAACCTGGGTGCCCAGTGGACAGCCAGCACTGACTGCTGGACATGTGAGACCATCTTGGACCATCAGGTGTTCCTAGTTGTCAGGGGACTGCCAACAGGGGAGGGAGCCCAGGATGGACCAGCAGAACCACCCACCAGCCTATGGAAACAGAAGGAATGGTGAATTGCTGTCTTAAGCCTCAAAATTTGGGGCGTTTGGCCCCCCAGCAGCAGATAACTGAGGGGGCTCCAGTTGCAGGCGAGTTGGACCTTCTTTGCTTATCTTCTCTTTCAATTTGTCAGAATGCTTTTTATCTCTTCATGTGTGACATTCTCTTTTTCCTTATTTATTTCCCAACAGTATGCTTTCCATGGCATCTGCTCACTTCTGTTCTTCTGCTTTAGTCTGTCTTTTGGCCAGAGGCTCCCTCTCCTTCCTCCACATCCCTGCTCCCCATATTAGAACCTTTACTCTGCTTTACTTTCAATGTTCCTGTCCAGCTCCCCACGGATTCTCTCCTGAACACTGTGTTCTTAATGTGGGGCTCAGTCTTTCTAGAAGTTTCTGAAGGTATTTCTGAAAGCCTTAGGCCTCTCCAGCATCTTCTTCTGAGTCTTTTTGCACTCACTCTCAAATTGCAGCCAGTGAAACCTCTCCCCCATTCCTCTCTGACGGTGAACCTGTACTTGTGGGCCTGTTTTCTGGGTCTTCTGGTCTTGGCCCTGTCAGAATTCCTTCCTCTCTCCTCCATCACCTCCTGCCTGGCACCTAATCCCACATGGGAGGTATGCTGTACCACTCGCATTTGAGGATTCACGGGGATACCCACATACCTACTTCTGTTGAAGAGTGTATTGGTCTTCTAGGGCTGCTGTAACAAATTACCACAAGCAAGTCTAAAGTCAGCCCAGATTCAAGACGGAATAGACACTGCCTCTTGATGAGGAAGGCACTGGCTTAATACAATGAGAATTTATTCTCTTCCAGTTCTAGGGGTCAGAAATAAAAATATTGGGGTGTGGGCAGAGCAGTGCTCTCTCTGAAGGCTCCAGGGAAGAACCCTTCCTTGCCTCTTCCAGCTTCTGGTGTTGCTGGCAGTCCTGGTGTTCCTTGGCTTGTAGATGCATCCCTCCAATCTCTGCCTCTGTCCCCACAGGTGCCCCCCGTGTCTAAATATCCCTCTCAAGGGGCACCTGGGTGGCTCAGTCATTAAGCATCTGCCTTCGGCTCAGGTCATGGTCCCAGGGTCCTGGGATCGAGCCCCACATCAGGCTCCCTGCTCCACAGGAAGCCTGCTTCTCCCTCTCCCACTCCCCCTGCTTGTGTTCCCTCTCTCGCTGTCTCTCTCTGTCAAATAAATAAATAAAATCTTAAAAAAAAAAAAATCCCTCTCTTTTAAAGGATTTTATTTATTTATTTGACAGAGAGAGAGAGAGAGCACAAGCAGGGGGAGCAGCAGGCAGAGGGAGAAGCAGGCTCCCTGGGAGCCTGATGCGGGACTCGATCCCAGGACTCTGAGATCATGACCCGAGCCAAAGGCAGACGCTTAACCGACTGAGTCACCCAGGCGCCCCTAAAATTCCCTCTTTTTATAAGGACACCACTCACTGGATTAGGGCTACCCTACTCCAATAAGGTTCATCTTATGTTGATTATAATCACGAAGACTCTATTTCCAACTGAGGTTACATTCATAGGTACGAGTAGCTAAGATTTGAACATTATCTTTTTGGGAGACACAGTTCAGCCCAAAACAAGGAGGCTGTGGGTCTCCTTTGTTGTGCTCCCCCCTCCCCCCTGCCCCCTTTTGCTATCCTAGTTGCTCTGTTTTATTAAGGGATTTGGGGGGAAACTCAAAATCTATGCTGCCTCCAACATCGTGCCCTGCCTAGAACCCCAGGGATGCGCTCTAAGCACACATTTCTATAGATTACTGTTCACAGCTTTGAAGACCAAACCCAAGGCAAGGGAGACTGTCTAGAGGGAAAGGGGCTCTTACCTCAGAGAGGTAGGAAACCTTTGGTGGAGCTCCTTTAAGGTCCAAATGAACTAATCGCATCTTAAATGGTGAAGAACGTGACATTTCACTATTTTTCATGAAGTCATGTAACAAAAATCTCTTGTCTGGGCACTTCTTCCTAGTGGAGAAATTCAAAGTTATAAACGGGCAGAGGCCCCTTTTAGGCCTTGCCCTTCCACTCTGTGCTTCCATTCCCACACGCCAAGGTTTGCTTTATTCACTGGGAGGAAACTCATTTCACCAACATGAAAATGAATCAAGAAGTCTACCTCATGTTCAAATAAAGGGACCTCTGCCATTTAATTATTATTTGCCCCTAAAATAGAATAGCACTGGTTTCCTCATAAGATGGCTATGATCTATAATAACACAAAAGACTGCAAAATAATTTTGTTTTAAAGACTGTCTCAAGTTGTGCATACTATGCTAGCGAAAACAAGCGGATATATATAAACATCTTTCATGTCCTACAATATGTTTCTGTAGAAAATTTATCCTTAACTTTAATTTACTTTCAAGAGCATTGAAAATAATTTACACTTCTAGAGCTCAAGTCAGCTTGGCTGTATGGAAAAAGAAAATAAAAATTTAGTCTAGGTCAGAGAAAACTGTCTAGGATTTAAAACAGACCACTGATAATTTGAAAAGCAAATGAGCCACGAGGATATCAGGGCAGACTAGCTTCTATTAAAGTAAAGGAAGTGTCTGGATGACAGTGAAGTAGCTGGGAAAGAGTGCAATCTTCCCCCCCCCCCCGCCAGCTATAATAAAAACACAAAGGATAGGATGAGAAAAATGAAAGAAAATCTTTGCATATTGGTCACGTTTACATCTCAGTAATTCACACCACTCATTCTGTGTGAGGACTCATAAATCCCTGACCTTAAGAAGTCTATTATAAAGCAGGGAAGATAAAATACACGCACACAGAAACCAGTTTGATTTTTTTTAAAGAAATTATATTCAAAACAATCTCAATGACAAAATTCTCAAGGCAGTTACCCAAATTACCAGCTGACGGGTGGATGAGTTTTGTGAAAACGCATTCTGAAAACTGCTTTTAAAGCTGAATTGTTTAAAAATCTTACAAGCCAAATCTATTTTCCAGAGACTAGACTCAAACACCTTCAAGCTGAGAAGTGTGCCCTGGTGGTGTGAACACCCCCTCATATTCAGAGAGAAACCTGCTCCCGCTGCTGCATCGCTGGGCTCAGAGGAATGCTGACATATTACCTGCGGCAGGCACACTGGCTTAACAGCGTTAAGTCTCTGCAAAATCTAAAGGAAAAGAACCAGAGAAGTCCCTGTTTCACCTTGTTATGAGTGTGCTAATCTCCGCTCGGACTCCCTCCTGCACGAAGTCTACAGAGATGAGCTTATTCCGAACCCCTGGGTGGAAGGTGACTACTATCAGATGAACGGGCGTCTGCACTCGGCGCTGACTGCTCAGGGCTTCGGGTGAGGCCAGGAGCCCCTGAGGCGATGACCCGCACTGGTCTCCGCAGGGCCAGGAAGGCTGGGCAGACCTCTTCAGTCCGATGATCGCATGAACACTTTCTTCCCCCTGTATCATCAGTGAGTTACTCACCTTCTCAGGCTTACTCCTCACGGATGCGCCTCACTGTTCACCCCTTCAGAGTTTCCGGTGTCCTGACACACGGCCGGTTAGGTTTACTTCTCATGCACAGGACGGACGGTTCTGTAGGGAAACGGAAAGCTGTCAACAAGCAGCGGGGCCTTCGGGAGACAGGCGTGTGTACTGAGCACCAGCTGGTCCCAGCACCCGCAGGTGTGGGTGCTGACCCCCAGGGAAGCAAACAGACCACGGAGAAGGGCGCAGAGACTCCAGGAGAGGAGCTTAGCGACCCCCCAAGAACAGCCCTGTGACCCTGGGAGGAGGACCCTGCGACCCCAAGAGAAGGGCCCTGAGACCTTGGGATGGGGGCCCTGAGAGCTCGGGAGCAGGGCTTGGAGACCCCGGGAGGAGAGGACGACTTGGAGACCCCGGAGGAGGGCCCTGAGGACGAGGGACCAGAGACTCCGGGAAGAGGGCGCAAACTGCGGGAGAGGACGCACTTCAGACCGCAGGTTCCGAGGCTCGGCGAGTTCCGAGAGCGGAGGGGCGGGCGAGGGGCGCGCGGGCGGCGCGGTGCCCTGCAAAGCGCGCGCCCAGGTCCGCGCTCCGCCCCGCCCAGCTCGGCGCTCGGCCTCCGATTGCTCGGGCCTGGCCGCCAGACCCGGGGTCGACGGTCGAGTGCGTCGCTCTGTGTCCCCGGCCGCGCCGGCCTCGCGCAACCTCTCGCGGCGCTCGTCCCGGGCTCGGGGCGGCTCCCGCGTTCGGCCCGGTTCCGCAGCGGCCTGGCCCGATGGCGCCTCAGCGGAGGGGCGCGCCCAAGGCGCCCGAGGGCAGCGGGGAGACAGAACGCCGGCGCCCGAGCAGGTACCGGACAGCGCGGGGAGGGGCGAGTTGCGGCGGCGGGCGTGGCGTGGCCGCGCGGTGGGCGTGGTCAGACGGGAGGGCGTGGCCCGCCGGGGGCGTGGCCTGCAGCGTCGTGGTGCGCAGCCGGGGCTCGGGGTTCGGACTCCGGACGGGAACTCGGGGCGGGCATCCTTCCCTGACCCGGACCCTGTGTGCAGAGGGCTCCACGGCCGGCCTCCCGGCGCGGACGTGTTCCGAGGCCCCGTCGTGTCGTCCCTGTGCGCTGTCCTTAGGGCTGTGTATAGGAGGGCCGTCGGATGGATGGCCCGATGAATGAATAAGTGACCGTCCCATCCCGTAGCCTTGCAGGGGGTTCTCCCTAAAGCTCTCAGAGCCAGGGTGTGTTTTCATCGCTCCAGGAAAAATCGCTGAGGCCCAGTGCTTGCCCAGGGGCCATGGACCTTGCTCTGAGACTTGGAAAGCAGGCCCCTTCTGTTCTGGCGAGGTTCTCTGGGTGCAGCTTGAGCCAGCTTGCTCCAAACAGGGTGCTCCCCTTGGGCAGACCCCGAGGGGAGTGTTGCATCTGAATCTGGCCGAAGATGCCGTGTCTCTGTGCGTGTGTCGTCGTCGTTCCCCCCCCCCCGTTCTGATTCCGCAACCGCACTGTGGGGAGAAGGGTCGCCAGCAGCTTGCCGGTCAGGGTGCCAATCATTTGCTGCTGAGATGGGCTGGCAGTCTCCCTGCCCTATCTGGAATTTCGGAGGAAGGGAAATGATGGGCCCACTGGTGTCAGGTGTCCACCCTGGTCTAATTAGAGAAGGCTGGGTGGCCTGGAGGCTGGACAGCAGTTCTAGGGGTGGGGAATCTTTTTGAAATGGGCAGACCCCCCCTTCCCCTTCCAGTGTCTATGATCCCTGTTTAAAATGATCAGGTATCCACTCAACGTGGTCTGACCGTGCTGTGCCCTCCTTGGGATTTATATATTGGAATTTGTTTTATTCATATAGCACTGCAAAGGGTTGAGGGTCATAAAAATAGAAGTCAGACTCCCTGCTTTTCAGGAATTAATTGCATACTTGAAGAAACAGGGCACACCTCCTTAAAAGGGTGCCTTGATCTTTTTTCTTTCTTTTTTTGCGAGTTCTTTGAGCCCTACAGTCACCAAGTCTTTCCTAGACAACAGAGTAGACAGCTTCCCATTTACACACGTGCACACAGACAGCTGCACCCGTGGGCACATACATGGGTACAGATGTGTGTGCACACACACGTGCTACTTCAGCATGGCAGTGAGAAGTGTAGTTAACCCAGGTTGTGCAAAAAGTGTCTTAATTGCAAGTCGTTTTCATTGTGCTTCTATTTTCTTGGCTGGGTTGTGGTTTTAGTGAAGTGGGCTTGACTCACACTTAGTCTGTGTCCTGTGTGTGGGCATGGGCCCTGGTCCATGGTTTGGGGCAGTCAGTTTCAGTTGCAGGCAATGTGATTGGCAGCACAGATTCGGGTTCTCAATGGGCCTGGAGGGACACTGGCTGGCAGCTCATCTTGTTGCCAGCACACGGGTCAGATGCGGCTGGGGGCCGCCTTCCCCAGCACATTCTCTCAGACTGGCGAGTGCCCCTGGATTGGCTGAGAGTAGCTCTGACCTCCATTACTGCAGAACAGTTTAAGGCTTGTTCTAACTAAGTGGGGGTGCAGTCCCTGGTCATCATAGTCTGTCTTCTCAGCACACACGGGTGCCTTTGGGTGACGACGTTTGTGTTTTGTCCTCAGCACGAAGAGTGTCCGGGCCCCGCGGGAGGTGCCGAGGAAGTGGCTGAGAACCGCCGTCCCGGGGGCCTGTGCCGTGCTTGCCGGGCTGCTGCTCTGGGGCAGTCTGGGGGGTGATGGTGGCGTCACTGAGGTCCTGGCTCACCGTGGTGAGATGCTACCGGGCAGGTTCATCGAGGTGCCCTGCTCAGACGACTATGACAGTCACCGAAGGTTTGAAGGTAGGCGATGCTGCTGCAGTCTGGGAAAGAGCAGCACGTCAACAGGGAACGCGCTTTTCTGAGATGCGTCTGTGTTCTGCTGCAGTGAATTGGTGGGAATCAGATTGAAAGTGGTGTGGGGGCCGGGGGGTACGGGCGAACTTTCCCTCCTTCAGGTGGGTTAACCCACACCTGGACTAGGAAATGCAGGGGCAGGCCTGCCAGGCACCGAGGTGCCCTGCACTCTGCCGGAGAGACAGTTTGCCTGGAGGGACAACAACAGAATGGGAGAGGTAAGGATGAGAAAGTTGAAACGAGAAAAGGCATTGGCTATAGAGTGTCATAGAGTGTTGTCACCGCAGAAAATGTCACAACAAGAAATGTCACTACTGGGGACACCTGGGTGGCTCAGTTCGTGAAGCGTCTGCCTTCAGCTCAGGTCATGGTCTCAGGATCGAGTCCCGCATCGGGCTCGCTGCCCGGCGGGAAGCCGGCTTCTCCCTCTGCCTGCCGCTCCCCCTCGCTCTCAAATAAATAAATAAAATCTTAAAAAAGAAAAAAAAGAAATGTCACTACCAGAAGCCCTTCCCCAGGTCAAGTGTCCCATCCTGGTGGGGGGGGGGGCAGGAAGGCAGGAGGGGGCGTGGTGCCCAGAGGCGCCCATGGGATTCAGCACCCTGGAGAGCCCAGGACCCCAGTGCCAGTGGGTTTTCATTTCCCGCACATTCCTCACTGCTGGGCGCTTTCTCCGTTTTAAAAACCTAGCCTGTGCTACTGTCTTAAAGACAGGATTCTGTCAATGTTTTCGTTGAGAGCAGTGCTCTGGCCTGAACTGGAAGAGGACTGCCCAGTGATCCCACCGGGCGGCGCCTGTGAGCAAGGGCTCCACCTCCCTCGCCCGTGTGGGTGCGTGTCCTCCCTGGCGCCCTCAGCCTTTCCCTCTCCTGTCCCAGCTTCCAAGGGGGTATTTCTCTGCAGTTAGAACTGAAGTTTCTCTTCTCACGCACTTAATAATTTAGCAACACTAAAAGTTTGCACGAGGAGGTAAGGGGATTGGGAGTTATTATTATTTAACAATGCGGAGTTCCAGTTTGGGAAGCAGAAAAAATCCTGGAGATGAATAGTGATGATGTTGGCACAACACTATGAATGTAAAATGGTAAATTTTGTATTATGTATATTTCTGCAATACCAAAAAATAGTTGAGGTGTATTTAAAACTTCTGGACTTCGCTCCTGCCCCTCAAGCTGTAGGGGCTTCTACTTTGGGCAAGGGGCTCCTGATGCGATGGAGGCTCGACCCCTGTGGGGGTGTCTGGACAGAGCACTGCACCGTGTGTGTGTGGGGTGTATGTTCATGCCCTGATGAGTCAACCATCCAAAATTCACTTTTTCACCCAAGTTATACTCTTGACCCTTACCCCCATTGAACACTCTCTTCCTGCTGGGTTTTAGCAATTCAAAATTCATGGGCTTTTGGTTCTCTTTTTAAAAATCAATTTCTAACTTAATTGCCTTGTAGCTCGATAATATAATCTGTATGATACAGGTCCTTTGATATTGGCTCAGACTTTCTTTTTTTAAAGATTTTGTTTATTTATTTGACAGAGAGAGACACAGCGAGAGAGGGAACACAAGCAGGGGGAGTGGGAGAGGGAGAAGCAGGCTTCCCGCGGAGCAGGGAGCCCAATGCGGGGCTTGATCCCAGGACCCTGGGAGCCGAAGGCAGACGCTTAACAACTGAGCCCCCCAGGCGCCCCGAGACTTTCTTTTTTTTTAAAGGAATTATTTATTTGAGAGAGAGAGTGCTCACGCGTGTGCACGCATGCTCATGAGCAAGTGGGGGAGGGGCAGAGGGAGAGAGAGAGAGAGAGAGAATCTCAAGCAGACTCCAAGCTGAGCATGGAGCTCGTTGTGGCTCGATGTCACGACCCTGAGATCATGACCTGAGCTCAGACACTCAATCGACTGAGTCACCCAGGTGCCCCTCAGACTTTCTTTTTGACCTAATATGTTTTTGTTAATGTTCTACGTGTACCTGGAAAAACGTTTTCTAACGGTTGCATGCAAAGTTCTACGTGATTCTCCCAGTCTCCTAGTCTGCATCCTCATGGACTTCTGTCTCCTTTGTGCATCAATTACTGAGAGAGGCGAGCAGGCATCTCCACCGTGCCTGTGGCTCTGGCAGCCTCTCCTGACTGGTCTTTCGTGTTGGCTGTTTCATATCTGAGATGGTACTATCCGGTGCTGTTTGTCATGTCTTCATCTTCCTGGTGAATTGTTCTGTCACTTCTAAACATGACCCTCTTTTCCCCTGTGATGATTCTTTTGTCTTAAAGCACAGTAGTTACACAGATATCACTCTCCAAGCTTTCTTTTGATTATTGTTGTATTTGCTTTTATTTTTTTATCTTTCTGTGTTATTTTGTTTAGGGAGTAACCCTTATAAAAAGCATACACGTGGCTTTTGTTTATAATGAAAACACCTGTATCAGTGGGATGGTATTTGGCCTCCTGGAACTGAGGCACCTCTCCCCCGATGGCCCCCAAGTAGAAGTTTATTTTTCCCACACAACAAGGCACAGAGAAAGGCTCCCCAGGCTGGCCTGGTGCTCTGTGAGCCCCTCAGCACTTAGACTCAGTGTGTGGCTCACCTGGTCCCAGGACACTCACTCTGCCTCCAGGCACCAGGCTCACGTTCCAGACAGCAAGGGGGGAAGAAGGATGAAAAGCTAGAAGTCCACCAGCCCAGCCTGTCCTGAGAGTGTCGCTCGGCCTCATCTCATTGGCCAGGACCCGTACGAGGGAGCTGGCCCGCCTTGTGTGCTGAAACACCAGGGGTTTGCTCAGCCCGTCTGTCTCTGATGCTTTGCCTCATCCTGGCCCCATCCACTGACCCTGGCCTCGGCGCCATCCAAGCTTCTCTGCCTTCCTGCCCCTAAGCAGCTGCACATCCCGGTTGCAGAGAGATGGAGGGAGTGCAGGGTGGGACACATGGTAAGCACCTTTGGTGGCAGTGTTTGCCAGGCCCCGGGACAGGACAGTGACCAGAATTACAAGCACAGCTTCAGTTGTCCCTGAAGGAATTTCTCACGGGGGCTTAGGAAGGCTGGATCTGTGGTCCTAGATTGTCATGGATACTGCCTCTGGCTCAGGGATCTCTTCCCAAGGGTAAGCACCTGCCTGGTGTGGGGCCACCAGGAATGTGCTGTGTCCAGCCAGGTGTCAGTATGTCCCACAGAGGATGCACTTACACCAAAAAGATCATTGTTGCCTCTCTGAAATTCACACCTATGTGGGTGTCCTGTATTTTATTTGCCAAATCTGGCCCCCTCATCCTGTGGAAGGCACGGCCCCACAGAGTTCCCCTGGGGAGGGCCACCTATAGGTAAGTCCTCAACAGATGCAAGTGGCCTTGTTGTTCGGATTCAGCTTGGGGTCAGCATCTCATTCTGGCTCCTTTCTCTCCAGGCTGCTCGCCTAGGAAGTGTGGCCGGGGCATCACTGACACCGTCATCACCAGGGACGAAGCCCAGCGGATTCGCAGGTACCCAAGCCTCTTCTGTCCTGAACAAATGGGAAAGTGGGGCTGCAGAACAGGAAGCAGACAGTTTTTACTAAAAACACAATTTAAAGAAATTCATTTAGAATTCCGTAAGAATTTCCTTGCGTGCTTCCAAGGGCAAAAGCAGGCTTTTCCAATTTCCAGGAGCAAAGTGTATTGCCCTCAGTGATGCTGTTGCTGCTGGAACCTGCCGAGGCCTAACCCCTCTTCAGGGGAAGTGGTTCTCACCTGGATAGGAGGTCTAGGGAGATGCTGCCTTCTCAGCTGTTCGGGGAGCCCCGGTGGGCACCTGTGTAGACGCGCCCCCTGCAGCAGCGGCTCACGAGAGAGTGGTGCAGTCTGTGTGCCTAAGTTGGCTGGGCATTAGCCCTTGGGCCAACCAGCCGTGACTAGTGTCGGGGCAGGAAGTCTTACTCAGATGCAGCCGACACTGGATTTTTCTTTGTTGGGGTTTTAAAAACAAGATCTTAAAGTTTTGATTTTGCAACAAATTGTTCAGACACAAGAGCTGTTTAGACACAGGTGCAAGGTGGAGCGGCATCTGCCCTCAAGCTGCCTTCGGCCTATGCGCCCAGCTGCCCGTCCCAGCAGGGAAACCCTCCTCCTGTTTCTAGATAACAGTGTAGGGGCTCGTTGGGCAGGAGTCACTGGAGTCGGGGTTGACCCATCCCCAGGGACCCAGTGGGAGTAGCTTAGCCCATTTGGGTGGGCACCAGCTCTCAGTGCTAAAGATGGTAATTAAGCCTAGTTGTTTCTAATCTGTCATATTTAATTAACAAGATGGTGAGGAAATATTACCATTTACTCATTTAGCTTTGAAAATTGAATCCTTTGGTTTGAACTTGTGTTTATATCGCAAATATTAAACAATCTATTAACATTACATGAATCATGCTGGTTATTTGCCTAGATATACCACAGACAATTCTACTAACTAAATCCTGAATATAATGACCTTCCCCCACAGCATAGCCGAGAAGGGGCTGTCCCTGGGAGGATCTGACGGAGGGGTGAGTTCCTGCCTCTCTTTTCTTTCTGCCCCTTTAACTTGCTGTCCGTCCAGGAGCAAGGAGGCACCAGATGTGCAGGGCTCTGGGGTGTCCCCCCACATCGCCAGTGTGAACAGACCACATTCAGGGGGCACAAGAGTGTCCCCTCTCTTCACAGTGAGTTGCAGCAGCCTGCTCCAGATCTGGGGTCCCCGCTGGGGGCAGGCAGATCTGGTCACAGACAGTGGGCTGACAGAGGGTGAATTAGGAGCCCAGTGAGGAGGGTGGCCAGCCCTGGAAGCGGGAGGGGCTCCTGGGACATGGTGACGCACATGCTCCCCAGCCTCCAGGCTGGAGGCCCCACAGACACGGTGTGGGCACTGTCATCCATGTGTGTGAGAGTGCAGGGGGCCCGGGGTGGGGGGGACGTCCCAGGGGATCTTATGACCAGTGCGTCCACCCAGAACATGGGGAAAGGGGTCCTTACAGATGCCATGAAGTTAAGGGTCTGAAGATGAGATCATTCTGGATTGGGGTGGACCCTAAATCCAATGGCAAAAGTGTCCTTATGCGAGAGAGGCAGAGAGAGATGTGTGACAGAGGAGAAGCCGCAGGAAGACAGAGGTGGAGGGATGCAGCCATAAGCCAGGGAACCCCTGGAGCCACCAGAAGCTGGAAGAAGCAGGAGGAATTCTCCCTTAGAGCCTTCAGAGGGAGCGTGGCCCTGGCCACAGCTTGATTTTAGGGTCTCTGGCTTCAGGAGCTGTGAGGAGATAAATTCCGGTTAGTTTGAGTCCCCAGTTTGCGGCGATCAGTCACGGCAGCTGCTGGACCAGGGCAGCCCTGTGTCTCATCTGCCTCCTGGGCAGCCCCTGGGGGTCCTGTTCCTATGAGCACCGCACATTAGCTTGCATTCCCATGTGGTGTCCTGAATGTGGGTCTCCACCCAGTGTGTGAAGCTGTGGAAGATACAGTCTTCTCTGCGTTGTTTGGCAATGGCTGAATTATCGCCATTACGCGGACCCGGATCAGTCTACATGTTTGAAAGTCCTGGGAAGATTAGTTTATGGACTTTGCTAGAATTTCTAAGTATTTCTATGATTATCTGCATGACCTTATTTTATTCTGCAAAATTTCCCCCAGAGTTCCGAAAATTAAGCTCCTTTTATTTCAATTTGGTTTGATTCAGGGGTAGCCTTTATTAAAAACCCATTTGTGCATGGACTCATCTCTTATTCTTTGTTGGGCATTCCCCCAGGAAGCTGTCTTGCAGCAAAGGAACCAGATTTGATGCCTTTAAGTTCAGTTAACATTTATTAAGCTCAAATTATGTTCAGACCCCTGGGCTGGTCACTGCACCAATGAGGAAAAATATAGTAGCTTCCGGATAGCGTAAAAATGGTCCCTGCTGGTGACCACTTTTCCTGGATGTGGGGAAGACCCACAGAGGTGGGGTGGGCAGGGGTGCAGAACACTTTGATGGTGTTTTAGAAAGTAGGACCTAGCAATTCCACTTCTGGGGATTTACCCAAGAGAATGAAAGCATCTGTCCACACAGACTTGTCTGCCAGTGTTCAGGGCAGCTTAATTGGTAATAGCCCCAAACTGGAAACAACCCACGTGGTTGTGTTACCCCAAACCATGGAGTGTCCTCAGCAATAAGATGGGATGGATGTCTGTGGACACAACAGTGTGAGTGAACCAGAGTGGTTATGCTGAGTAGAAGGAGTCAGACCCAGAAAGAGTGCATCCCACATGATTACATTCACATATAATTTTGGAAAATGTGCATCAGTTTGAGACGGTAGGAAGCACATCAGTGGTTGTCTGGGTGGGGAGGAGTCGGGGGAGAGAGGCAGGATGGCAGAGGGTACAAGGACATTCTGGGATGTGGTTATCTCGATGGTGATGGTGGCTCACGGGTATGTGACATCAAAGCTTTATCAAATTGTGCAGCTCATCTGTCTGTTGCACCTCAACAGGGCTGAAGGAGGGAGGGTGGGTGGGGTGTGATTCAGCTACAGGAGTTCACAGGTCTGTGGACTGTTTTCAGAAAATCAGACTGGGCAGGAGAGAACGAGATCTGTCCTGTATGTACCCTGGGTCCCCCCTCTTGAGACCCGGCACGGCCTCCCGGACCGAGGGTGAGGGCGGGCTGGACCTCAAGACCCCTGCTGCCCTGTGCTCATCTTTTCCAGGCATCCATCTTGGACTTGCACTCAGGAGCCCTGTCTGTCGGGAAGCACTTTGTGAACCTGTACAGGTGAGAGCCCCGAGGGGCTGCGGCCCTCTCTGCACCCCTGTGCATTTCCTATAGCCGGAACTGGGGCGTGGCCCCTCTCCGGGGGCAGGATCCTTGTTCAGCGCAGGGAACAGTCTGGGGCTCCATCGGAGGCTTCTCAGGGGCCTTCTCCGGAAAGCGGGACCTTCCTGCGGCCGAGGGACAGCCAGAGGGAGAGGTAGGAGGGGTGAGAAGCTGGCCAGGCTCTCAGGAGAGCTGGAGAGTCCGGTGGGACTCCGATCCTGAGGCCAGAGAAGCAGAGATTCCCCCAAGCTTGATGCTCGCGTTGACTTCCGTCCCTTTAATCACGTGGTTATCACTGTAGAAACAGAGAGAGATCAGCGCCCAGGAGGAAACAACGAAGCTAAAGGAAATGAAAAGATTCAAAGGTTATAATAAAGCATTGACAACAGACGTCCGTTGAAACGTTACATTTGTTAACAGCCAATTTTTTACAGATACTTTGGAGATAAAATACAAACCGTCTTCTCAGAAGAGGACTTCCAGCTGTACAGGTGAGGAGGAAAGCAGTCATGACGTCAGACGTGGAGGCAGGTGGCGCAGGCTGAGTGGGGAGGGCGGAGGGTCGGTGCCGCGGGAGCCCGCCCAGCCAGGGGCGGAACCCAGGAGCGCCACGCCCATCACGGTCACGCCCACCCAGCTGCACGGGCCACGCCCACAGACCCCGCCTGTTCAAGGGCCTAGGCCACTCCCCAGGCTAGGCCACACCCACCCGCCCTCTGCAACCATGCCCACCCGTCTTCACCCCGCCCACCAGCCCGCGCCACGCCCCTGGGCACGCCCACTTGTCCCCACCCACCGTGATCACGCCTTCCCTGACCCTGCGCATCCCACCACAGCACCTAGTCCATGCCCACTGACCATGTCCACTCAACCCTTGCCCTCAACGACCACCACCCGGCATCATACCCACCTGACCACCACCCCTCCAGACCACGCCCACCCCGTGTCCACCCCAGCTGAGGGCTTGTGCATATCCCTGGGGTATGTGCCCCAGCCCCTGGCTTGTCGTGGGCACATTGTGAGCAGAGGGTCTCACGAAGGCTGAAATGCACAGCTCACTTTATTAGAGTCTGGGCAGGTGGACGCAGGAGTGTACCTCTCTGCCCCGGGGGCCAGGCCAGGGAACCCATGGACCGCATGAGCATCCCCAGAAATACTGAAGGGAGGGGGCTTGTCTGGGTTGGCCTCTTCTCCCAGATCACTTAGGGCCAGTAGGTGGTGCACAGGGCAGCACCTGCCTCAGTCGCTGTGGGTCCAGCCAGGCCATCGAGCCCACATGACCCTGTGGAAGGAGCAGGCCCGTGGAGGCCTCGTGGTGCCCCGTCTGTCCAGGGCTGTTCCCTGCCCCTCGCAACAGCTCACGTGGAGGGAGACAGAGCCAGCCTCAGTGGGTCCAGCAGCTCTTGCAACAGCCCCACGAGCAGCCCAGGGTGCTACAGGGGGCCGTGCCCTCACAAGTCACATCACACATGCTGGCGCCAGGCATGGCCCTGCTGCCCTGACAGCTCCCCTCACTGGGGAGTGGCTTTCTTTAGTTAAAACTTATAATTTTTATTTTTATTTTTTTAAAATTTTATTTATTTGACAGAGAGAGACACAGCGAGAGAGGGAACACAAGCAGGGGGAGTGGGAGAGGGAGAAGCAGGCTTCCCACGGAGCAGGGAGCCCGATGCGGGGCTCCATCCCAGGACCCCGGGATCATGACCTGAGCCAAAGGCAGACACTTAATGATTGAGCCACCCAGGCACCCCTAAAACTTATAATTTTTAGATAATCAAGACTCATAGACTGTTTGGGGAAATAACACAGGGTGATCCCACGTACCCTTTAGCCAGTTTCCCCCGATAGCAACAAGTTGGTGTGAGCAGAGCAGGGCATAACCCCCAGGACCTGGCCCCAGTGCTGCCCCCACCATCTTGCTCAGAATCCCTGGTTCTACCGTACTTGTGTGAGTGTGTGCAATTCTGTCCCCTGAGTAGACCGTGTAAGGGATGCCAGTCACAGTACCGAGCGTCTCGTCGCCACGTGGACCCCATGTTGCCCTTCTGTCCCCTCGGCGCCAGCACCCATCCCTGACCAGCAGCCAGTGGGCCCGTTGCTACCGTAGCTTCGTGGCCTGGGAACAGCTGCTGCTTCCCCTTGGTGACGTTTCCAGGGAGGCAGCCGGGCTCCTGGTCCAGAGAGAAGCGAAGGGTCGGGGTGAACTTGACATGCAAATAGTAGCGGCATTGGGCGGTGCCCTTGATCCCTGCCATGCGCTAGTGACCTCACTGGGTCGGCCCTGAAGTCTGGGCCTGGAGCGAGGCAGGGTTTCGCAGCGCAAAAGGGCCGGGTGACCAGCAGTGCAGGAGCCTGGTCTGCAATCACCCCGTGACTGGCTTACTGTGTTTACCATGTTTACTGTTAAGTGAAAAGTGTGCGTCAGTATTTTAATGTTCATAAGTTCAAGGCTGTATGAAACGTAAAAACGATCACTGCGGATGAAGGGAAAACAGCGGATTTGTGTCTCATTCGAGTGCAAGCCTGCAGAGAGGAAGGGGTGTCGATCCCACTGCAGTCGGGGACAGCTCGTGGTTGTGCAGAGAACCCAGGGAGAGTCGCACGTATGGAACAGAGTTTGTATTTCTGGAGTGAAAACCCAGTCGGCTGTTGAACCAAGAACCAACGTGCCGTTGCCGGGCACGTGGGTGCTAGAGGAGGTGGCTGCCAGGAGGCTGCCACGGAGGCATGGAACGCAGACTTCATCAGGACGTTCGTTGTGTTCCGTCAGAGCTGAGGGTTTAGTAAATGAGATTGGTAGTTATCAATGAAGAAAAATGGAAGGAACCAATTAGTTTCACACAGTAAAACAATTATTAAAATAGTAACTGGGGCACCTGGATGGCTCAGCTGGTTAAGTGTCCGACTCTGATTTCAGCTCAGGTCATGATCTCAGGGTTGTGGGATTGAGCCCCGCGTCGGGCTCCACGCACAGCAGGGAGTCTGCTTGAGATTTTCTCTCCCTCCACCCCTCCCCCTGCTCACAACAGCTCTCTCTCTCACAATAATAAAATCTTTAAAAAATAATCATAATAATAAGCCAATCACTAAAACTTCTCAAAATAGATCCTCAAATAGTGTTGTCAAGGAAATGGCAGTGTTTAGAAGGTGCCATTGGAATCTTTTTTCTAACTTTATTCTGTTGTTAAAAATAATTGAGCATTCTGAGACATGACAAGAGTATTACCAGCATGAGATCTCAGCCTGATCTCATTTATGATCTAGATCATCACAGAACATTTCTGCTGGACCAAGAGAGCGAGGTTTGGGGACTCTCGAGGCCTTGGCGATGTCATGGTCAGAAGAGCTGCCTGTCTCCCACGAAAGCATTCTGATAATTCACACAAAATACAAAATGCTCTGCGTGTCTTGTGAGCTGGAAGGAAAGCTTTGAGGTTGGCTTTATGGTTAATGTTCAGGGTGAGAAATTCCTGGAACTCCACCTCGGGTTATTACAGAGGTGGTCAGTGTGCCCCCGGGAGCAGGGCTCCTGCTGCTCTTGGTGCCACGTCCACGTGGTTTCATCGGACTCTGAGCCATCTCTGGACGTGCTGAAGGTAAAACGTCGGTTTGCTTCCCGTGTTTTCTGGCTGTCATGTCTGCTGACCTCAGGGAGAGTGTGCAGCGTGACATGCAGTGACCAGAACTGAAAACCGGAGGACTGTCCGGGGCGGGCCCCGAGGAGCCCAGAAGGAGCACCATCACCTCGTTAATGTGCCATCCACAGAGTGTGTGGTTTGATGACAGAGTGAAGGAATGCCACGAGCCTCTAAGTTCTTTCGGTTCATTGAACTGGGACATTTGGCTAACCACTGTTGGCAAAGCTTTGGCATTGAAGGTGAACAAAGATGAAGACAACAAAGCCCACAAAAAATTCTGACATTCTCAGAAGTAGTTTTTCTGACTTGGCTGATAAGAGCTGCTGAGCGCACACTTATCTCCTACCCTGTTGAAGGGTTAGAAGCATTCTGAATGTAGTTGTTGGCCCAACAGAAGTTCCATGAACATCGCTGATGGTAGAGTGCTTGCTCTACTTACTGAAAGGAGTTTAAGGGGGTCCCAGGAAAAGTCTGGTGCGCCCCCAGTTGGCGCCCTGCGGAAAGGGAGCACCCTTTGGCTAGTGGTGTGCATGTTGAAGCATCAGCCAGTGGTTTGGAAATGTTGCAACGACACCCTGTTGTGCTGGAGCTACATCATTTGTGGAGCTAGACCTAGTTCCATACGTGTTCACGCAGGTACATGGGTAGGCACCTGTATGTGTAGGCGCATGTGGGTATGTACCTGAGTCTCGCAGACATGTGCATATGTAGGGTGTAAGTTTGTATGCTGCGTGTGTAAAGGTGTAAGTTTGGTGTGTGTAGGTAGGTCTGTGTGCACACGTGTGTACAGGCATGTAAATCTGTATGGTGCGTGTAGGTAGGTACGTGTACACGTGTGTAAAGTGTCAGTTTGTATGGTGTGTGTAGGTAGGTCTGTGTGCACACGTGTGTAAGGTGTAAGTTTGTATTATATGTAGGTAGGTCCGTGTGCACATGTGTGTAGAGGTGTGTAAGTTTGTATGGTGTGGGTAGGTAGGTCCATGTGCATGTGTGTAAGGTGTAAGTTTGTATTATATGTAGGTAGGTCCGTGTGCACATGTGTGTAGAGGCGTGTAAGTTTGTATGGTGTGTGTAGGTAGGTCTGTGTGCACACGTGTGTAGGGTGTAAGTGTGTATGGTGTGTGTAGGTAGGTCCTTGTGCACGTGTGTGTAGAGGCATGTAAGTTTGTATGGTACGTGTAGGTAGGTCAGTGTGCATGTGTGTAGAGGCATGTAGGTAGGTGGGTAGGCAGCAGGTGTCGTGTGTCTACCTGAAAGATGGGGGTCAACCCGTCTAGCACTGCTCCCCTGCATCTGGCCTCCCACAAGGAGGCGGCTCCCTGGAGCTCGGCTGTGCAGGTCAGCAGCGGTCCAGGCAGAGGTGGTGTCCCCGCCGTGGATGCTGATGTGGGGGACTATGCCCCATTGCACCTCGCCCCACAGCTGCGTGTGCAGGGCTTGGAGCCCAGCCCCCTGGACGTGCAAGGAAGGGGCTGGTGTCTCCACAGGGTGCCACACCTCTGCTGTGGCAGGCAGTGGCCCCAGCCCCTGATCGTGCACACTGTAGCTCCCAGTGAGGGTCGAGGTCCTCCTCCAGGCCTCTCTGCCCTGCTCAGGAACACGCACACCTTATGCAGAGGGCCGCTCTCCCCCTCTGAGTGTCCCCAGCGGGCCTGGTGCCATGGCCATTCCTGCAAGGAATCGGTGCTCAGTTCCCGGTCCTGCACGTGGTGTCCCTTCACACAGGCCCAGGCTGCTGGGTGTGTGTCTGTCCGTCTGGCGGCTTTCCTGTAGTCCATGTCTTTTTGCAGCGTGGCACTGTGTGGGCTCTGTGGGACCTGTGGAGAGTTCTCTCCAGAGGCTGCACTGCTCCTGGGTGATGCGTGTGTCCTCCCGACAGGGACGTGCGGCAGAAGGTCCAGCTCACGATCGCCCAGGCTTTTGGCATCAGTGCGTCTTCGCTGTACCTGACAAAGCCCACATTCTTCTCCCGCATCAACAGCACCCAAGCCCGGACGGCTCACGACGAGTATTGGCACGCACACGTGGACAAGGTGAGCACCCGCTCTCCGGCACAGGTGCCAGGGGCTTGTCCGTGGCTGCCCGAGCTGGCTCTGCCTGAGCTTCTGAGCATCTACCCTGTGGCGTTTCTGTGGTTGGGATTTTAGATGTCTTCCTCTCTGACATTTGGGGTGGACCCTAAACCCTGTGGAACCCTGTGGATGTCGTCAAGGAGGTAAAACCCGTCCCCGTGGGACGGTGAAATGTGCACTAGGAAGTGGTAGGCACCATGGCACCCTGTCCTCCGTGGCTGCCTCCGCTGGAGCTGCGAGCTCCACCACGTGCCACCCAGGCAGCCTCTGTCATCCCCACAGCTGCAGGTGGCCTCCCCTTGGGCCTGCCCTCTGCCCACGTCCTGCCTCTTCATGGGAAGATCTCTCAACCACTCAGGATCTTCTGGATCTCCCGTCCTTGATCTCTGTTGCACAAGCCCAGATAATCAGTGATCTAGACCCGCTGAGTTGGAGCCCATCCCCATCCGTACTGTAGCCACGTCCCCCCGTGTTCTCAGCATGCTGCCGGGGGCACCTGAGGGCTGCAGGTGTGCTCAGGCCCCGGGACCAACCCTTGTGTCCCTTGATGCTAGAACGAAAGAAGCAAGTGAAAAATACCCGGAAAGCTTGGGATGAGTGATGAGGGCAGGTTAGGACGCACGCTTGCAAATGGGGCTTCAGCTCTGAAACCCAGCCAGATGCTCAGCCTTTGTTAAATCTCGACTGAGCTGACGGAGGCAGCACCATGCATGGCCATGAGCACAAGGGTGTGATTAGTGAAACTGAGGACGCCAATATGTAATCAGTTCAAGCCAGCTTAAATGGAAGTGGCGTCTGCGACCAGGGGCTCCCAGCAGGCCAGCGATGCTCTGGGGGCTCCCCAGACTCATGCTGGGACTGCAGGATTTCTGGCCTCACGGCGGGAGGCCCAGTGTCTGCTTGCAGTGTGTTCAGACGCCAGTCCGGTTCCACTGTGGTCCAGCCCATCCCCTTGCCCCTCACGGCTCTCGCAGCTGTTGGTCTGTTGGTAACCACCACCGATTGTCACCACACCAGGAGACAGGTGCCACCTTGGCTGTGAGATAATCACAGACGTTGCAGGGGCAGAAGTGGTTGTTACGGTGCTGATGGCAAAGACAATGTGTGTGGAGGACGGACGGGTACGTACAGCATACGGAGAAGAGAGCCCCCGCCATGGGCCGGAGCCCAGGAGGATCTCCTGCATGAAGGAAGAACAGCCCTCCACCCACCAGGAGGAGTCCGTTCAGGAGAAACAACATTGAGCGTGGCCCGGCTGCGTTCTCGAACTTTGAAGATAATACTCTTCAGGCGGGAAGAGACTGGCCACCAGTCACGCGTCGGCAGCCTCAGGCTCTTCAGAGCGATGCTCAGAGCCAGGAGGCCATGGAAGGGTCTGCAGGAGCTGGGGTCACATGAGCAGCCACGGGCTGCTCACGTGTGGACGTGGCAAGAAGATGTCCTCAGACACGAGAGAACTCTGGAACGTGGCATCTTCTCCTCATCCACGAGGCTCTTGTCTCCAGCTCAGGAACAGAGACACCCCCACCACTCCCAACCAGGTCCCTGCTTTTCACGCGAGTTCTGAGGGTTCTTTTGCGGTATCTGGGGGTGGGCGGGTAGGAGAGGGTCAGGCTCCTGGACTCCCCACCCACTGCACTGGGGTCTCTCTCAGGTTGTACGTGGCTCACATATGGTTTTGATGGACATGAGGTTCACTGTGGAAGCTGCTCAAGAAGCCTGGCCCTGGGAGATTCGCAGGCTTATCCCTCTGGTGTTTGTTAGGAGAAGGGATTCTGGACAAGGGGAACCTGAGTTGGGGTCTTAGTGGGGGATGTGGAGCTGAGCCCAGGTGTATAGGAATCCAGCCTCACGTTGCATGGTGCCAAGTTTGTGAGGGGATGACATTGCTCTTGGTCACCATGGCAGCTTTGCTGGTCGGCCCCCCTCCCGTCAGGAGGTGACTGTTGTCATGGTGATGGGGGTAGAGATGGTTGCAGGAGGAGAAGGCTTTTCGAGCCTTGATCAAATACGGCATGTGAGATTGGCCTGGGGCTTCTGAGTCATTCCCAGGATGCCTACAGGTGTCAATAGAATCATGTACGACTGGCTGTCAGCCCGGCGGCTTAGAGGAGGGAGTCGGGCTGTGCGCCAGGGCTGGGGGGGGGTGACGATTTGGACTGCAGTTCTTAGGCCCTTCCGTTTATCTCTTACCCCACACTTGCTAATTGAATGATTCATCAGCCTGGAAAATGTTATTATGTGATTAGAATTCCTTGTTTGTCGCACATCACTATCTTTGCATGAAAAGAATGCGTTTCTCGGTAATTCCCTTTATTAACCAGATCCCGACCTGTGTGAGTGAGCCCTTGGAGAAGTGCAGTCAGCTTCTCCTCAGCAGCCTGAGGTTTTAAACCAAACTCTGCAGATGTCACCTTGAGAAAACAGCATCTCCACGTGGTGCCCCTTGTCTGTCCTGGTCGCGAACAGTGCCTCGCCTCCCAGACTTCAGGGCGTCTGAGGGAACAAATGATAGCTGCCCCCTGTTTATGTCCCTCCGTCCAGGCCAGGGGTGGGGGTCGGTTATCAGAGGGTCCGTGCTCAGACAAGCCCCCAGCCAGACCCCGTCCTTCACCATCTGCTTTGCACTGCCCATGCGGTCTTCCCAAAGAGCACCTACGCAAAGAGGCTCACGCACTAAAGGGCAGACACTGTAGGGTCCGCCAGATGAGGACCCTGGGGTCGTCAGAGATGGAGACAGAGACAGAAGGGTGGGTGCCAGGAGGCGGGGGGCGGGAGTGAGTGTTTAATGGGGATGGTGTCAGTTTGGGAAGATGCCAGGTGAAGTACTGGGGATGGACGGTGGGGGTGGCTGCACAGCTATGATGCGCTTCGTGCCCCTGGCTAAAATGGCACGTGTATTTTACTACAGTTAGAAGCAAAGGTTGGGGCTGCCCCACACGTGAAGAAAGAGCGAGAGCACTTGTTGCCGCGTTTGTTCATGTGTGGACGTGGGAGGTGGGAGCTGCCGCTTAGCGGGTGACACGGCCGCTGTCCTGGGAATCGCTGTGGCTCGGGCTTGTCGGCTGAGCATCCGCACGCGCTGCCTTTACCAGGAGACGGCTGCCCGCATCTGAGCTGTGCAGGAGCCCCAGGCAAAAGCGCATGACCGTGGGCCTGACCGCGGTGGGTCTGCGGTCAGGAAGGCAGCCGGCGGCCTCATTTAGGAGGCGGACATGTGTTGTTGACCAACCTCGGAAGCGTGAGCACGGCCTTCTGGGCTGGTGTGCCCCACGGGTGCCCGGATGCTGATGTGCTCCCTCGTGCTCTGCCTGCAGGTGACCTACGGCTCCTTCGATTACACCTCACTGCTCTACCTCTCCGACTACCTGGACGACTTCGGCGGGGGCCGGTTTGTGTTCATGGAGAAGGGGGCCAACAAGACGGTGGAGCCGAGAGCAGGTAGGACCCTTGGGCGGCAGCCCTGGGCTTGCAGGCAGCTGGGCAAGCCATCCATCTGCTGGCCCTGGACACGCCCGCTGCCCTAGGTCACTGCCGCACAGCACAGCCAACCTCCAAGCCCCCCACTCCCTGCAGTGCATTCCCGCTCTGTCCCTCCCCAGAGGTACAATTCCTGACCTAACTGGGACCTGCCTCCCCAGACCAGGTGGTCTTGGAGCCCCCAGGGCCCCCAGCACGGCACGGACACTCAGAGCGGCCCCGTGAGCATGTGCTGAGCGGAGGGACCGTCCCCTCCCTTCTGGCGCTTGTGGGGAAGGGTGGGGTCACAGCTCCAGCCAGGCTCCCAGAGACTCACAGGCAGAGCCCGGACACCTGGCCCAGGCCTTGGGCTGTGCCGTCCCCCTGCAGCCACGGCTCACCTGTTCTGTGGCATTGCGCTCACTTGCTCACTGGGCGCCCACCTGGTGGGAGCCCAGTCAGACCAGGGAGGCTGCCCACCTGGGTTGGCTCAGAATGTTCCTGCCGGCCGTGGGACCAAGCCAGTGGGTCCAAACCGCTCCCTGTCGAAGCTCTGAATGGGACACGCAGTAGTGTGGAAATCGAAGGTGTAAAAAGGGAATTAAGCAGCTCAGGGTTTGCTCTCCTCCCTCTGGGTGAGTACGGGAAGAGGTGCAGACCCCGCTCAGTCAGCAGGCAGGAGGGGCCTCCAGACACCCTGCAGCTCCGGCAGTTTGATGGATTAAGAACCAGAGAAGCTTCCGGTGCTAAGGCCAGGTGTCACCTGTCACTGCTTTCGAGAGGCACCCTTATGGCCTAAGAGGAAAAGGACGTGAAAGGTTACAAAAACTGAGATTATTTCCCATTTTTGGTTACTCAGTTGCTGAGCTAAATCTTATTTTAAGTCATTTACTGAAGAATGTAAAAAACCAGAAAGTACCTTTTTCTGAATTCTGAAATGTTTCATGTTTATAGAATTAGGTGGGCAGTATTGTTCAGACAGCTTGATGTTCCCCTAGGGGATGTGGCCCTGGGGGACCCGCTGCTGGGGACGTGGCCCTGGGGGACCCGCTGCTGGGGATGTGGCCCTGGGGGACCCGCTGCTGGGAACGTGGCCCTGGGAGACTCGGCCTGGGGGACGTGGCCCTGGGGGACCCGCTGCTGGGGACGTGGCCCTGGGGACCTGGCCTGGGGGACATGGCCCTGGGGGACCCGCTGCTGGGGACGTGGCCCTGGGGGACCCGCTGCTGGGGACGTGGCCCTGGGGGACCCGCTGCTGGGAACGTGGCCCTGGGAGACTCGGCCTGGGGGACGTGGCCCTGGGGGACCCGCTGCTGGGGACGTGGCCCTGGGAGACTCGGCCTGGGGGACATGGCTCTGGGGGACCCGCTGCTGGGGACGTGGCCCTGGGGACCTGGCCTGGGGGACGTGGCCCTGGGGGACCCGCTGCTGGGGACGTGGCCCCGGGAGAGTCGGCCTGGGGGACGTGGCCCTGGGGGACCCGCTGCTGGGGACGTGGTCCTGGGGACCTGGCCTGGGGGACGTGGCCCTGGGGGACCCGCCCTCCGGTGTCAGTGTTACTGTGTTTGGTGCTGGTGGTGCCGGCCTGCTGGTCACCACACAGGTGATGACTTCATCCTCTGCTGGTAATCTCCTCGTGGTTCTGGTGACAAGCAGCCTGCCACTGGGGTCTTGCAGAGCGCTTCTGTAGTGCCGGTGCTTATCTGCACCACTGCACACTTCCCGGCTCCGTTGCTGGGCTGCACACGGGAAGCACAGAGGGGCTCTGGCAGGACCGCACGGCCCGAGTCGCACTTTTCTCCACAGGTCATCACACCGGTGTTTGGGGGTCCCGAGAATCTCTTTTCAGGTGGACAAGATGGGGGTCTGCCAGGTTATTTTATAACACTCCCTCTGTCCCGTCCCCGCCTGCGGCTCAGCGAGACTGGTCCGTGCCCACAGACGTCACGGGAACCGGCGTTTGCCGGGCGAGAGATGCAGCGCGGCTCGCCCACCAACGAGGCCACATGAAAGTTGGCATCCGTTCCTTACACAGTGTCCTCGGCCTCCTGGGAAATCCTCAGGAAAATAGCCACAGCGCCTCACACCTTCCCACTTACTAGTGCTTCCCAGGACCTTCCCCGTAGACCCGGGTTTCCAGTGGGGACCGTTTTCCTTCAGTCTTCATGCGTCACGCCCCTGGCAGCGGCTCTCCTGAGAATGTCCGCATGTCACCTTTTCTCACGGACATCTTCACTGACTGTGAAATTCAGGACTGATAGCATTTTCCTTTCTCTTTATAAACATCATTCCTTTATTTGGGTTCCATTCTTGCTGAGAGTTGCCATCACCGGGTCACTGTCTTTTTTCTCTGCTGTTTCCAAGATTTTCCCAAATCTTTCATTTCATCCATTCCACGGTGTTGGGCCTCGGTGTGGACTTCTTTATATTTATCCCACTTGGAGTTTGCTGTGCTTATTGGACTAAAAACCAGAGGTTTTTGTCATGTCGGGGAAAGTTGGGTCATCATTTCCTCAAGTCCTCCTTTTCTGCCCCAATATTAATTTCTTTCTCTGAGGCTCCAGCAGCATGAATGGTGGGAGGCTTCGTACTGTCCCAAGGTCTCTGTTTGCAAACTGTGCCGACGCGCGGGGAGGGACGTGAAGACCCCTACTCTTACTGTGTGTCAACAGACACTTCATTGCCGTGCCCTTCTGCACAGGGGGCAGTGGGCGTGGACGGGCATGCACACAGGCCTGGCTGCTTGTCCGGTGGCTCAGGTTTGAATCAAAGTGCAAGAGACTGAGGACAAGATGTCTTTTAAAAATGTGAGTCTCAGAGAGTGTTGTGCGTGTGGCTTGCTCTGGGAAAGAGCGTTTCCTTCGCGGGGATGGCGCCATGTGTGAGCTCCAAGAGCCCCCGGGCTCACACTCACAGGGCTTCCGCTGTGTTCACGATTTCTTTTGCTCTGTTGTTCCCAAGCAGAGCCCAGTTCTTTGTTTACAACGAGAAAGCAGCGCATGTCTGAGATGGACTTTCTTTCCTTTGCAAAAATTATGGTTGAGTTGCAAGTACGAAGGAAGCAGTCGCGTTTCCAGCAGTAACTTCAAAGGGAAATGCAGTTGCCATGGCGCCTGCCGAATCCCAGGTTCCTCCCCTACGGCTTTGCAACGGTCAGCTCCCTTGTAGAAAAATCTGCGGTGCTGTGTGCAAGGCCAGTTAGAGACAGAAGCCAGTGAACGTGGAATTGTCTGTTGACGGTTGGAGGATCCCCTCCTCTTGACTCAGAAGCTGCCTCTCCCCGCGTGTTTGCCTTTTGTCCCCACTTGATGGGAGCTAACAAGGCGAGGCACTTGGCGTTGTCTTGACGCATCTTCCCCGATTCTTGGTTAAAGCTTTGCCATCACTCTGCAGGGTTTGGTTTTGTTTGACGTGGGATTAGAAGTAAGATCCTAAGCGTCAGACCTGAAAGGCTGTGAGGGGTGGGCCTGGGGCGGTCCCCTGGCTTGGCGGGGCACCCTGGGCAGCAGCAGGACCTCGCCCCCAAGTCTGGGCCCACCTACCGCAAAGAGGGCCGGGACAGGGGCTGGGGGGCCCCTCACCCCCGGTGGCCTCGCCTGCTTTGCCTCCTGCTACAGCCATTCCATGGCGGGCGGGCCTGTCCCATTCTCGTTTGCTGCGTCAGGGCCGGCCGTATGTGTGGCCTCCTGGTCACTTCTCTCTTCTGTCCCAGGTCGGGTGTCCTTCTTCACCTCGGGGTCCGAGAACCTGCACCGTGTGGAGAAGGTCCACTGGGGCACCCGTTACGCCGTCACCATCGCCTTCACCTGCAACCCGGACCACGGCATTGCAGACCCTGTGTTCACGTAGCCCCGGCCACGGCGCCCTCCCCGGGAGCAGCCACGCCTGACAGATGCCCCTGCCGCCGGTTCGGCCCATTTCCATTGAACAAGGTGCCTTATGAATCACCCGGATGTTGATTTGCTGCTGTACTAATCGTTTCTCATCTGTAAGTAAATTAGGGGAAGCGGCTCTTCACCTCCCAAGCACCTGTGTGTTTGATTCAGTGTGCTGTCAACGTCAGGCCCAGAAATTGGCAGTGAGCCGACGTACCCTCCTGTCTTCAGGAGGGATCCCCGGGCCCTGGGTGGAAATTCCCATTTGTGAATAGATAGTTGTTCGCCCGGGCCTCATCCAAATTCGGAAACCACCGCGGCCCATTGAAGACTGACTTTGGAATGTGGACGATGCCATGGTCTGTAGAGCAGGTCCAGGGCGTGGGCAGCTCTGGGAGACAGGTGTGGGCCGAGGACCTAAGACACCAGTGACGTGAGTCCTGCTGGACACAGCATCCTCCTGAGACCAAGCCGGGACACCGCACATGGGCGCCCTGCACGTGCCCCGGCAGTGCTGTGTGGGAAGGCAGGGCGCGGGTGCCCGGGGGGCAGACCGTGTGTGTAACCTGGGGAGGCAGCGGCAAGGGACTAGGCAGTAGGACAGACGGGAAGCAATAGCAGATTGAAGCCAAGCAGGGGAGCACCAGTGGGCTGAGGTCTGTTAACCTCAGGCCCCCAGGCTCCGGGAGGCCGAAGGGGAGGCAGGAAGCATCGTCCGTGGCACATCCAGTCCCTTTTGGGCTGACTGACACTGTAAATATCAGTTTTTCACTTGATCTTGAGTTCCAGGAGAAGCAAGCATAGACCGCCAGCCCTGAATCCACTTTGTAGGGCCCCCGCTCCCCCCAGGAAGGGCTTTGCGGGCTCTGGTTTACCATCCCAGCCTCCCCCCTCCCCTTTGTTCCCGCCTGAACCTCCCCCACCCGTTGCCTGCTGAGCCCCACAGAATGGCAGGGGTGGGTCTGCACCCAGTGGTCAGGACGGATGCCTGAGCCCCGTCCCCCCACAGATCTGCAGCCACGCCATGACATTCCTCAGCACCTTTGAGGCCAGGTCAATCCCGGGGGAGCAGGGGTGCGGGCAGTCCCTTCTCCTGAGAAGGCCACACTGTGGGCATCCCAGCTGCCATCCCCAGCCCTGTGGACACACGAGGTGGGGCTCATAGTCACACAACTGGCTGGTGCCCAGCTTGAGCTCTCTGGGTCTCCCTCAGTAAAGAAGACAGATCTGGGGGGCGCGGGGGTCAGCCCGAAAGGACCCCATTCCTGGAGAATTCCCATGAGCAGTAAGGAGGAGGGAGGAAGCGACAGGAGGATGGGCACCATCCTGGGTCTCCACACACCCAGGGTGGATTACTGGACCAAGGCTTCGTCCCCAGGAAAAGGTGGGCCACTCCCCTCTCCAGGTCCCCGGTCCCCAGAACAGACCCTCCCCGATCACCTCACACAGCCAAGACCCGCCTTACCGGTGGGGGCAGCCAGAGGCTGGTGGGGTTTGTGGGGTGGGGGGCACGTGGTAGTGAGGTGCTGGCCATGCCGTGGTTCCTCTCCTTGTGCCTATCTGTATGAGGCCAACGCAGGGCGGGGCTGGGGTTGGCGGTCCGCACCCCCCTGCAGAGCCCCAGCTGAGGCCTCACGTCTCGCCTCAGACACACTGTGTTCAGGGGCTTGGGGCACATGTCCCCTCAGCCTGGATCAGGACCCCCCTGAGACCCCAGCTAGTGCCCCAGCCTCACTGTCAGCTCAGGCACCCCTCCCTCCCCTGCCCAACACAGGTGGGCACCTGCTCATACCATTCATCAGAGCCTCCCCCACCCCTAAAGTCACCCACCCCAGGGCCACCTCCGCGGTCTTGACAGCTCCTGGCTGCCAGTGGCCTGCTGCCCAGCCTGGCACGCAGTGGGGCGCACGCTGTCCACCTCCACTCTGCCTGGTGGCCATGGGCTTGGGGTGGGAGGTGCCAGAACAGGAAGGACGCAGGGGTGGGGCTGATAGGCAGAGGGCAGAAACGGAGGTACCCTCCCCACAGGCCCCCATGGGGACCAGGGAATACACACATGGACGCAGGGCAGGGAGGGGGCTGGACCGCTGGACAAGAGCTCCCCAGGCCATGGACCGCTCTGCCCCCACTCGGTATCCAAACCCAAATATCCACCGCCAGGGGGAGAAAGGGGCAGGTCAGAGCTGTCCAGCCTGTGGGCCTGCCCTGGGCAGCTCAGGGGATGGGGCTCTCCTGGGGGAGAACCAGCCCCTCGCCCCCCACATGGGGGTGGGCCCTCGGCTGGCCTGGAGAAAGCAAGTCTGGAGCTCCTGGCTGTTGGTGTTGGCAGCCCCGCTTCCTGCTCGAGCGTCATCTGTCTGGAATGCTAATGGAAAAATCCGCCCTGGCACTGGGGCTCCTGGTTTGGCGGTTTGGGGGGGTGTAGGGATCCAGGCTGGACTCTGGCCACCCCTGCCTCCCCTTACATGGGGATGGGGGCTACCACCTTCCGCTGGCCAAGCTCTTCTCCTTTCTCATGCCTGGTGACTGGTTGAGGGAAGGTGGCCCAGCAGCTGGGGATGAGCTCTGGGTGCTTTCTCCAGGGGACAAAGGGGCCCCCGCATCCTGTGCCCCCAAGGCTGGCCCTTTAGGTGACCCAGATCCAGAGCACCTGTCAGCTGGATGTGCACAGGTGTAGACTCAGGTGAGTTCAGGCCTCTCAAAACCGCTCAGGATGCCCTCCCAGAAAGGGCCCCATGCATCACCCCACAGGCACTGTGGGGCCACCCAGACAAGCACTGACCCCCGCCCCCCTCCAGCGCAGAGGTCCGTCTGGGGTGCACAGTCTTCACAAGCAGAGAGCTCCCCGGGCAGGGAAAAGTACTGGCTACTGGTTTGGGTACAACTCACTTCCCAAAGAATGAGTTCCTGGAAAATGAGTCTGGGGAACTTTGAAGTGTGGGTTTCTTGTTGATAAAGAACGTCCGAAGTGCAGCTCCCCTGGTGACATGGACTCCGTGGGTCTGTGCACCGGCCACGCTTCCTGCAGAGGGTGGGACAGCCGCAGGCCACCCTCTGGGGGGCTGGGGGTGCCCTGTGGCCCCACCGCAGTCAGTGGAGGTCAGCAGCCCATCCCTTCCAAGCCTGAGCCGCCTGGAGCCTGAGGGGCAGGGATGTGCCTGTCCCTGGTAAACCCATCACCCCCACCCGCTCGGCTCCGGAGCCTCCGGGGATGCCAAACCGCTGCTTGGCTGTGAAACCTCCCAGCTTTGGGCTTCTTCCCCGCCTCCCAGCAGCCCCCTCCACCACCCCCGGAACTCAGAAGACAAACGAAATGAGGAAGGGCAGCGAGTCAAGAGCACAGTTCATTTTCTCACTCACTCATTCCCCACGGGGTGCCCTCCACGGGGCGGGGGCCCACAGCCTGCCCAGGACACTGGCTGGGGTGGGGGTGGGGGCTGGGGAACAGGGGCCGCAGGGCAATGAGACAGGGCAGGGGAAGTGCCCTGAGGCCTGGCATTTGGCCCCCCTCCTGATGCGGCCGGGCACCCCATCCCAGCCAGTCCTTGTCGCACTGGCTCTGCTGCCTAGGGTCTTCCAGAGGGGCACATGCCCCCACCTGTAAAGGCCTCTCCTGCCCCAGCCCCAAGCCAGCCCTGCAGACCAAAGTCCGAATTCATGATCCATTCAATCGAGGGCAGTTAGTGCTTCACAGAGTAGCCTTTATGAAAAGAAATCTGTTCCCCAAACGCACCCAAAATACAATCAGTTCTGGGTGGACGCAGACACAGGACCACTCACTCATACTTGCTGGGGGAGCAGTTTCTACTCCAGACGGACGCACCACCCAGCAGCTCCACGCCTGGATTGACTCGGAAATGGACGCAGAGACTCCCTCCCCAGCGCTCCTAGCCGTTTTGTCTGTAATGGCCCGAGACTGGACCCACAAGGCCACCTGTAGGTAACAGGTGGCAGTCCATCCATCTGCAAAGCTCCTCAGTGACGGAAAGGAACAAAGTACCGATAAGCCAAGCGTGGAAACCTGGAGACCAGCCACAGAAGATGGACAGCTGACGGGTCCCATTTGTAAGACATCCTAGCGGCAAAGTCTGTCGAAGCGAGCGGCGAGGACACAGCTTCGGGGGCACTGAGGGGAGGGTCTGCGCAGCTCGGGGCGGCGTGGGGCGGGGCATCGCCGGGTCCCTGTCCTCGTGTCATGGGAGGATACCGGTGGGAATTTCAAGCATCTCCGTCCAGCTTTGGTGCATGTGTGCACACATTCACACATGCACTTGTTTGTTTTAAATAAAACTTGGGATTGCATTATACAACTTTACCTTCTGTTTCCCCTCTACTGTTGTGCCTTACTTAGATCGACGTCATTGCTAATCTTGGAGAACACAACCTTCCTCTCTCAACACCATGCCATAATTTATTTAAAACTGGGTAACATTCCATGATGTCTGATTCTTACAGTAATGCTGGAATGAGTATCTTTATATATAAACCTTTATCTACATCTGACTCTTTGATTTAGGATAAAATTCTGGAAGTGGGGTTCCCAGAGCATGAGTTACAGGCGTTTACCTGCCTCTTGGTGGGTCATGCTAACTTTGTTCTCAGGGATATCATTTCTGTTTTGGCCTTAAATATATTTTTCTGCATTGGAATTTTAAATGATGTATCTAATTGAATCTGTCTTTCCTTGTGGATTCTTGGTTCTAGGTCAGCTTACAAAAGCCTTCCCATTCCTTATGCTAGAAATATATTCACTTGCGAGGGGCACCTGGGAGCCTCAGTCGGTTAGCATCTGACTCTGTTTTTTTTAAGATTTTGTTTATTTATTTGTCAGAGAGAGAGCACAAGCAAGGGGAGTGGGAGAGGGAGAACCAGGCTCCCCACTGAGCAGGGAGCCCGATGCAGGACTCGATCCGAGGACCCTGAGATCATGACCTGAGCTGAAGGCAGACGCTTAACGACTGAGCCACCCAGGTGCCGCAGCATCTGACTCTTGATCTCAGCTCAGGTCTTGAACTCATGGTCATGAGTTTCCAGCCCTATGTTGGGCTCCGTGCTGGGCATGGAGCTTACTTTAAAA